ATTACCTTCCGAATAGTCTAGCCAATACTGTATAATTAGACTCTCTCTTAAGCCTATAACATGAATTTATAAAAAAAAATTAGCCCTTTTGTGAACTTAAAAAATTAAACAATATAAAGGCTCTTTTACTTTCAAGCACTTAGAATAGTCGAGCGTGCTGTCCTACAGACAGCTCTTGTTTAATATAATACATTGAGCTTGTATTTTTAAGGTTGTCAAGAGTGATAAATGGCTATTAAATGTGTACTGTGTATTTAAATGACTCCTTTTAGAGTCTTACTTAGTATATCTAAGTTTATTATTAACCCCCGTGGCCATGTCACACTATACAAATGCTTCAACTGTGTTGATGCAGTGTTCTTAAGCATTTCATAGACTTTTATTATAGTAAATGCCTCTTGTCTGCTTTATATGGCACATTCATTGCATTTTCATATCTTTTTGTGCCCCCACGTTAGTGGCGGGCATTTAGATTTACCCTTGTCCGTCCGTCTGTCCGTCCGTCCTTCCGTCCGTCCTTCCGTCCGTCCGTTCACTTTTGTGTCGCACGTAACTCAAAAAGTATTTAACCTAGAGTCATGAAACTTTACAGGAATGTTGATCAGCATGTGTAGTTGTGCACCTGGGTATTTTCGTCTGGATATTTTTAGTATTTTCAGAGTTATTGCCCTTGACTTTGTAAAATTTTGCAATTTTCAACTTGTGTTGCATGTAACTCAAAAAGTATTTGACCTACAGTCATGAAACTTTACAGGAATGTTGATCAGCATGTGTAGTTGTGCACCTGGGTATTTTCGTCTGGATATTTTTAGCATTTTCAGAGTTATTGCCCTTGACTTAGTAAAATTTTGCAATTTTCAACTTGTGTCGCTTGTTACTCAAAAAGTATTTGACCTACAGTCATGAAACTTTACAGGAATGTTGATCAGCATGTGTAGTTGTGCACCTGGGTATTTTCATCTGGATATTTTTAGTATTTTCAGAGTTATTGCCCTTGACTTAGAAAAATTTGGCAATTTTCAACATGTGTCGCACGTAACTCAAAAAGTATTTGACCTAGAGTCATGTAACTTTACAGGAATATTGATCAGCATGTGCAGTTGTGCACCAGGTATTTTCGTCTGGATTTATTACGTATTTTTAGAGTTATTGCCCTTCACTTTGAAAATTTTTGCAATTTTCAACTTGTGTCGCAAGTTTCTCAAGAAGGATTTGACATAGTCATTAAACCTTATGGGCAGGTTGCTCAGCATATTTTAGATTTGCACCTGGGGTTTCGCTTGTGGATTTATCCAGTATTTGTAGAGTTATTTCCCTTGACTTAGTAAAAAGATTGAGAGAACAGTGGCGCGGTGGGGGCACCCGTGTCCTATGGACACATTTCTAGTTTATTTTACATATTGAAACAGTATTAAAATGTAAAGTTATTAGTAACTGTAGATAATATGTGTAATGAAAAAAACAGGAATTATTTTCCAGATTTTATTGATAAAGCAGTTTCAAAGTGTCATTGTAGACTTGATGTTTACTTCCTGTTGATACTGAATATTTGTATTACATGTGGAGATGATCTCAACGGGAAGTTTTATTGAACTTTCACATGTTAGATTTAGCAACAAAGAATCATGTGAGAGGTTAAAATTTGACCTTACTTAAGTATGCATCTTTAAGAAGTTAGACAGGAGGTTGACTTCTGGACTTGAGACTAGTTTTATTCAAGAGTCATTTTAAACATGTATAAGTCTATGCTTAGATATAATACTTTATGAAAAAGCATGAAATTATCGGTAATATAAAACTTTTAAGACAAGTGATAGTATGTGTTGTAGAATAGCATGGTTTTTAATGGATCAGAATGGTGATACATTCATAGAAATATGTACATATATACTGCATAAAATGATATCCATCCAGCACTTCACAAAATCACTATTTTTTCCCAATAATAAGGCATTATTCCTTGATAATACCTAATTATTGGGGGAAAAGTGATTTTGTGACATGCTCTGTGTTATTTGTTTTTCCAATAATACGAATTAAGCCTTAGTTACTTTATTGTCTTCATTTCTACCATACAATACACAATTTGTTGGTTGATATATTTTGTTTTATGCCTTGTGTTTTATGCTTGTGATTATATATGTCATATAGTATGACCCTTGATTGGTGAAATAAAATTATTCGTAGAAATTCGTAGATTGCTCTAGAAAAAAGTGCTTCTTAGCTGATAGGTCCATCCCAAATCTGAATTTATTTTCTACTAAAATTATTTCCAGGATTGATTTATGTACATGTAACAGCCAACTGACTGACAACATTCACAGATATGACTTTATTATAGTGCTAATGATTTGAAATAACAGAATTTACTTTATTTGATATTATATCTAACTGGCTATTATTTAAACCAATATAAAACATGTTACAGCTGTTACTGAGGAACATCAAAGACAAACTAGTGCATCATGTGATGATAATAATCAGTGTCAAGAATGTTAATTGCATTATACTCTTATCATGTATCATTATTGTTATTGATGTTTTGTTTGGTCAGAACAATAATATTTATATAATATTAAGAAATGAATTCATTTTCCAACCAACCAGATAAAACAGTATCTAAGAGAAGCCAAAATAATACATGTATTTCATTTCATCATATGTTCACTTTTCTATTTGAATTATTATTAAGTTTCAATATATTATTGTAATGAGTGCTATTTATAGTAACGAAACATATACCTTGTCACGTTGGGGTATTTCACCTGCGTAAATTTAGTATACTCTTTTGTTAAATAATCATGTATGTCCTAGATTTGTTTTGCAAGTTTATGTTCACTGAACCATTGAATCAAATGAAGATTAAACTAGTTATTACAGATCAGATGATGTATTAAACTAAATGACAAAAAAATGAAATCTACTTTGAAACCATTCTCTATACATGGATGAATTAACAACTTGCCATAAGATTTTGTTTTAGATATAAATCATGAATTTACGTTATAGCTTTTATATAAACAGTTGCATGTAGTAAATTTATTATATCTGCCTGTAAATAAACATCATACAAAGGAGTATTATTGTTTAAAATGATGGGTTCAATGTTTTCTAAAAATGCAGGAAGAAATATATTTTGGTTTAAACAATGATAATATGCAATAAAAGAACAAAACTTTTAAATGACTAACTTTTCAAAAGAAAATATATGTTATCAAGGAAAATAATAAAATGATAAAAGCCCTCCAATGATTCAACAAATTATTAACATTGCATGCCAGTGGTCACAAGAAAGGCGTTAGTCTTAGACTAAGTTCAGTATTCAAGCTTTCAATGATATGATTTCACAAAACAAGTTATATTATAACTCTTGAGCCTACCTAAGGAAGGCTTTCAAGGAGTAGTAATTCAGGGGTTGCTGGTATGATTCTCTATTACAATTGATTTAGTACATTGAGTTGAATGGTGAATGTCTCTCACTGTTGATTAAAGAAATCTCACTATTTTTTGATATCAGAACTTTCTTTTTCTTTTTGTGCAAATTCTGAAATCTCCCTCATTTTGAAGAAAAATCTCCCACTTGATCATCAAAAAATGTTCACATGTAGTTGGTTGTTCAGGAAAGCCAGTTAAGATAATGTCTAAAAACATGTGTTTAAATCATGGTTAAACAGGAACTGTTATATATAACAGTATAACCCTTTACCTCATATATATGCGAATCAACGCACTTTCTACCCCCCCCCCCTTTTTTTAGGCCTGAAATAGTGAAAAAATGTCCTATTTTGGCCCGAAACACATGTTTTAGTTTGAGAAATGTTGCTAAGAAAAGTGAGCACTTTTTCGGCGCCGTCCCCCATCCAAAAGATACATCAGGGGGTTGCCAGAAGGGGGATGTGCCCCCTTCTGTTCGGGGGGTCTGAAGGGGGACTCTGTCCCCCTCATCGCCAAGAAAATTTTGGACTTGTGAGAGGCTTAAATTGACCCCAGGTCGATCATAAGGTAATGTGTAACCAACGCTGAAAAGCCTTTGACTCTATCTCAATGATTTTTGGCAATTTTGAGATGTCCCCTCGTTGCCATGGTAACAGGAAATTTAAGACTGAGCATGTCGTTACAAAGGCAATGGTCCAGTCAACATTTGTGCCAAGTTTGATTAGTATTGAAGTATTTTTCATAGTTTCATAGCAGTTTGAACTTGTAAGAGGAGGCTTTTCAGTGAAAATGGCCATTTTTCACAATATGCTCATGGGGGAAAGGGTTAACCCTGTCTTTAATTTAGTTACATAAAATTATGTATAATATCTCACACAATAATAATGCCAAATATTTAACTCTAATTTTCTTCTATACAATGTTATAATGATTAGATATCAAATATAGTAGTTGTAATTATATGATGAAAGTATATAAATATATAGCTAGCTTTTTTCCCACTTTAGTTCATATTTTTTCCATATGCAATTAGGCAATAGTCCTATCTTCAAGCATATCAGAATTCCAAAATGTACTGTCTTACAGGCTTTTGTTCGCAATCATAAATAAATATTGATTATTATCATGTACGAGTACTCTTGCAGCAGACTTGAAGAAACCTTAAAAGAAGCCTTTATAAATATGGGTAAAATTTTAATGTTACCCTTGAGATGTATATGAACACTCATATAAACATTGTAGTCATAAAACTGCTTCAGTTTTCATAATGGGTAAGCTAATACCTGGATATCTAGACTTGTCAACATAGTGATTACTTGTCTTCCAAAATGTTTCTATAGTCATAAACCCGCTGGAAAAAGTCAACAAGGTTTTAAATTGGAAGTTTATTATTAGAAATATCAATTCCAAGATTTCTGGAAAATAAAAGCCCTTGGCTTTCAACTTCCATACACTTAGTCAGGAACCTTTGGCATCAAAAGCAAATGTAGAATAAAAACCAAGCCTGTTCAAAAACTGCTGATATGTATAATCTTAATCAATTTTTTTTTTCTATTTATTTTCAGTACTTGGTGGAGCTATTCCAGGAAAGGAGAAATGTGTATGGGGACCTCCATACTGGTGTAGTCATGTGACACATGCACGAGAATGTGGAGCTACACAACATTGTCTACAGACTGTATGGAAAAATCAGATCATCAAACCTGAATCTGTAAGTGTATAATGTTTTCTCTATTGTCATATACATGTACAGTAAACCTCACAATAATATCTATTATAATGATATACCCCCTATAATGATGTTGCCATGGTGCGACACATTTTCTAATTGGTTGCTTCTCGGATATTACGATATCCGGATATATTGATACAAAATTGACAGTCTGCTGAATATTTTATAAGCTGAGCTTTCTGTAAAGTAGGCTCTTACACTACTGAGTAAATGTACTTAACCTTACAATTGAAATAAGAAATGATTTTACTGAAAGAGATTTAGAACTTCTTTAGACTTTAATAAATTAATACATTAAGGTACAAAATGTGTATGTTTTGCATTTCATTGCTAGAAAGGAACATTGAGTGAAATATAATTGTTTTTATGTTTCAGATTAAGACGTGTACGTATTGTGAACTTATTGTGAATGCCTTTAGAGATGCCATACAGCAGCCACCAACACAGGTAATGCTTTATTTTTACATAAACTCTGGCCTGCTCCTACAATTGGAAATTTCAAGTAAATCCCATGCTTCCCCAACTACAAGTAATCAAGATTAAAAAGGGAAATTTTATAGTAAGCCATTATGTAGATGATGTCCGATTGTCCGTGATAAACATTTTAACAATAAAGAAATTGTCCATAGGTCTTGTAAAAAATATCATTGTACCTAAATAATCTTGAACTGTCTGATGAAATTGACCATATTTCCTATTTTAACACTTTGATTATTGTAAATACATTTTGTATCTGGCTTATTGTGTATTTCAGTCTCAGATTATTGTATATTTCAGACTCAGATTATTGTATATTTCAAACTCAGATTATTGTATATTTCAAACTCAGATTATTGTATATTTCAGTCTCAGATTATTGTATATTTCAGACTGATTTATCTCAATTCAGATTATTGTATATTTCACTCATTTATCTCAATTTATTGTATATTTCAGACTCAGATTGAGGCTGTGTTGGCCAATGTGTGTGCTATTCTCCCAGATTCTGACACCAGAGATATGGTAAATTTAATTTTACTATGTTCTGTTTTCAAAGCAGTTTCTTTTCAATCCAAGTAAAAAAATAAAGGTTGTTTAGTAGCTTAAGATTGCTTCCCCCTCAACCCAGGAACTTTTGGGTCTAAGCCTTGCTTGGTTAACTTTGCTATTTCTTTATATATATGACACCAGAGCTGGCTTGTCCGAGAAGTTGACCTGAAAGGAATCAATCAATATAGCTGGATAAAAAGTATTACAAACCAGTGTAAATAACTATTTCTTCTTGACTATTATAAATGCATAAAAAGTGATTTATTTCTAAGAGATATTTACTATTATTTAGCTCTAAAGAAATGATAACATAAAGATGCATTAAATATTTTTTATGAATATTCAACTTGTTTGATAAATTGTTTAGTCTATTTTCTTGATCTTTTATGCATATCCAGATGTTATTGAAAATTTCTGTATCTAAATAAAATAAGTATTCTTTTATTATGTTTTTTTTTCAGTGTCAAGGAATAATTAAGGAATATGTCCCAGAGCTGATACAGATGTTTGAAAATGATATTGTAAGTCTTTGAAGTTTTGTTTGTTTTGTTTTTTGTTTTTTTTTTGTTTTTTTTGAATTTATCATATTTCATTTGATGATGTTTCAATGTATACTTAGAATGACAAAACTTTCATATAAAAATTGTCTCATGTGATTATAGAATTCTATATTCTTACATGTTTACACATTTTATAGCCATGAATTGTTTAATGTGTTAACTTCAACAACAATATAACTCATAGGTATATTCTTCAACTTAATACACACTTTATTATAAGCAAAACATTACTTTTCTTTATCAGACAGTGTGTGTTGTGAAGATTTACTTAAATGAAATCATTTAAGTCTTGTTTGGAAGGATTGGATGATTTCATATATTTGTATGTTTTGTAGACAACAGACATGATCTGTGCGACACTTGGTTTATGCTCGGGTCTGGAGGATAGATGGAGTCCATTTGGAGTTAAAGCCTCCAACAGTACAGACTACTGTAGTGATTGTACCAGGTTCTTCACAGATGTACAGCAGAGTATTACATCTAATGAAACATTGGTAAACATTAACCTTTATTTATTATATTGTTCTTTATAAAGGTTATAAATCTGGAATTTGTTTGTATTATATACCTGTATATATTTTTCTACACTCAATGCATGTATCAAATGCCAGATATGGCCTGTCAGAAAAAAAACCTGTATTACACTCAAGTGTGATCTGGAATAAAGTTTATCACTCCACTGAGGTGACTCATGCGATCCAAGCCTAGTTAAATACACTCGAGTCAAATACAGATCAAGATACTCCTTTAATTACTCTCTTGTATCTGAATTAAAATCATACAGTATTATGAAAATTAAATGATGCTTGTAAAGTTTTGATAAAGATGGTGGCATGTTTCCAAAGCATTTCTAAACCTTCTTATATAGCACTTTAATACTTTGTTGAAAACAGAAAAACATTTTTGTTAATTTTAGATGGAGGAAAAAAAATTTAGATCGCGATATGGTCATAAGAATATAAAACAATGTGATTGTATATTTCTTGATATTGTTATAGTATACAAAGTGTACTAGTGTTTCACTAGTAAGTTACACCTTTATGTCCTTTAAGTATCTGAATTTTAATTAAAAAAGGAATGGCTGCTATTGTTTTAAAATGAGTAATTAGCTATGTTGTGCTGATTTATGTTGTTGTTGTTGTTTGTTTTGTGGTGGATGTTTGTTGTTACAAAGATGTACATTGTTAGAGTTTATGTTTATCCTTTAACAGGAAATATAATGACACACATTATTTTACCTTTACAGAATCAGTTATTACAGCTACTGAATCAAACATTATGCAATGAACTTGGTGTCTTCAGTGAAACAGTAAGTACTGTGACCAGTGATGTTTACAGAAAATTTATGTCTTGACAAAATAAAAAATGATCAAGTTAGCTTTGACTCTCTGATTCAGATTGAATGAAATAAACTTTAAGCTGTAGCTTTGTTTTGTTTGGTTAACATCAAACTAACACAATTTATGTCATATGGTGCCGAAATAGGAAAGATGATACTGGCTTACCTCGGATGATACAAACTTTAAGCAACACCAGGGGTCAGAATTATCTCACCTGCTGGAGTTAAGAGATGAATAGACTCTCCAGTAATTCGAACCCATTTAGTTGTCTCTTACAATCACCCAGGGATAAATGGTGGCTGCAATTCTGATGCCTCAACACTTGAAGGCAACCCCTTAGCCATATAAGAGGGGGAGGGGGACAAATTTAGCTGAAGTGAAAGCATGAACAAACTTTTCACTAATGGCATGAAATTATTTTTGGATGATCTTAGGTTCAATTCTTTTGCCATGGCACAGCAACTAATGAACATAATTTTGCTATAAATTTGTCAAAATATTAATGGGAATTGTAATATTTTCAACATGATGATTTTTATATAGTTTTATATTAAGATTGTTTAAAAGAATTATGCCCTTGGTTGAGTGGCTTTGGTCTTGACTTCAAGCCACTTTCCTCTCACCGCTGTAGGTTTGAGTAGCACCAGCCTCAGGATTTTGCATGTTAGAAACCTGTCCAGCTAGCTTACTGAACATTGGTGGTTTTTCTCGGGTGCCTGAAATATTGGGGTATTCCCTCACCAGTAAAGCTGTATGACCTATGCTGTGTTGATGCGATGTTAAACCCAACTAAAATAAAAAACAAATGTTGCATTGAAACACTTCTATGTACAGAAAATCTTTTAAGAATAAACCCTAAACCATGGTGAATTCATTTTCTGGAACATCAAAGGATGCTATGTTGCACTATATAAATTTCTTATAAAATTGTGAATTTCTATAGCTTACAAATTCAATAATTTAGCATAATTTCATAAGTTTGTATATTGTCAATTAAAAAAAACAACACATGTTGTTTATTTCAGTGTATAGATCTTGCCAAGCAATATCTGCCTGTTGCCTTACAGACTTTAGCCAGTCAACTTGTAAGTGATGTTTTATTATTCAGGGGAGGTAATCTTTAAAGCAGCTTTAAGGGAGTATTGTCTCGTCATTTGAGGTTTTGCGTCCACATTTTTAGTTTAACAACACTCCAGAGGTCACATTTTTATTTGATCTTCATGAAACTTTGTCAGTATGTTCCTTTTAATAATAGTTTGGACGAATTTGAGGCATCTTTGGTAAAAAATTAGGTCATGAGATGAAAACCTTGTTAATATAAAACATGGGATATCTAGAGATTATTGTACATGTATATATTAAAATGAGTTTCATTTTTCACATGTCACTGTGTTTAGTGTACAGTACAGTGTATTTATTGGTAAATTGTATTTTAGGACCCAAACATCGTGTGTAGGATATTTGGCTTTTGTTCAACTAATAGTGAAATAGACCAGGCTATCATGATGAAGAATATCTTCAATGAAAGATCTTCAAAGGTAAAAAATACTTATTTAGTATAAGATTCAATGCTTACTTAATATAGAATGTAATATACAATTCAAGACAATTTCTCATTAAATCACGGGACATTTTGAGTGTTTAACCAGTTGGTTAATAGGTATCTGCTACTTTTATCATATAGAGGAGTGTAGGTGGTCTTTGTTTAAACATGTTAATAATAGCTCTAGTGTGATGTAAGAGTGAAGCATACTTGAACTATTCTGGATGTCTGATTTCTATAACTAAATACTTACTCTGTCATACTTGGTGGTTGCAATAACTATTTTGTATGGATTTTGGACTCTCAAAAAATGATTATTTAGATTGTGTGCAATATGGATTTGATATGAATCTTTTGGACTCTGGAAACGAAAATGAGGCTATATGTGGTGAGATAAAGGTTTGATATGAACCTTATGGACTCTGGAAAGAAAAATAAGTCTGTATGGGGTGTGTAATGGATTTGATATGGGCTTTTTGTACTCTGTAAATGAAAATGAGGCTAAATTGATAAGATAAGATCCAAAAAAGATTTCTATTGGGAACATCTTATGATGCAAATGCTGAATGTGCATTGTTGATATATTTTATAAGGTGTGAAATAAATATATTTACATGTATTTCATGTACATACAGAGTGTTATATATGTATATTTACATGTATTTGATGTATATACAGGGTGTTATATATGTTTATTACCCTTCCAGATTTTTTCCGCCTTTTTGATTGGATATTGATCACCCGAAAGAAATTGATATAACCGAGCCAGACGGGTAATATACACACTAAATTTCCCCGTTTGGTACCCAACGTTGTAAACAACATGCGTGGAGATGATGCGCGTACGGTTCGATTTTACGCGGTGTAAATTCCGATTTAAAAGCACTTTTTAACTGTCAAATGATAAATATTTACCAAAGTAGAGTTATGATACATATAACCATCAGTATTGAAAACAAATATGACCTTGTGAAAGCTTGATATTAATAACAAAAATGTGCGTTCAATAGACTACTCCTTTTCTCTTGTTTACTTAAAATTTGTAAGGTATGGGAAAAATACGTCATGCATTTATGTGACGTCATGTTGTGACGAAGAGGTATCCTAAAGGGAATCTTATTTCGACGTTTCATTTGAAACAGCAATGATTATTTAAAAAATCTTCTAAACTCGGCAGGGGAAGGGTAATAAAATTATTATTTTGGTTTTGGAGTGATATATGTGGATATATTACCTGCCAAGATAAAATATCACCCTCGCCTAACGGCTCGGGTGATATAAAATCTTAACAGGTAATATATCCACATATATCACTCCAAAACCAAAATAACATATAATATTTACATGTATTTGATGTACATACAGGATGTTATAAAGTACAGATCTGATGAGGAGTGTGTACTTTGCCAAGATTTTGTCAAGGAATTAGACACCTTAATGGAAGATCCAGCAAAACAGGTATTATAGACTGTAGTCATCTTTCAAAAAATAAAGATATCCAGTATGTGGGATGTATGTATTGTGGTGCATAGAATATTGAAAAATGTGGCGACTTAAGTTATGATACTGTTATCATCATACTGAATTTTATTTACAAAGTTATAGAAATAAGGAATATTAAGGAATATTTCCCTTAATTATCTGTTCTAAATTTTGTCGATTGATAGAAAAATTATAAAAAAAAATATATATAGTAAATACTTTTCAGACGAAGCTGTTTAACTTGATCAAGAACAATTTCTGTGCCGAGACTGGATCATTTATTATTCAGGTATGATAAAAGCACCTGATGTAGTCAAGTGTATTATTTATTGTGGTGTAATTATGAATTTATTTCAGTTTCTAGTTACTGTTTTACTGAAGCTTTTCAAAAGATTTGAACCAAACTTTCTAAGATCTATTGTCATGAAATGAACCTGTGCATATTATGATAGTTTTGTGATTTTATCTTTTTTTACCAAATTAAGGCCCTTTGTTTTGTTATTTCTCATATGTATAGAGAAATATCCTTCTGTGCTTAACTCTTCCAAAATTTCTCAGGATATTTCTTCCCAACTTTAACAGAGTTATTGTGAACTAAAGAATTTCAAACATATAATGTATCGTTGCTTGTCTGTTTGTCAGTTAGCTGTTTTGTTCCATCTACTCTTCCTAACTCATTATTCAAGTGTTTAATAAAGAGTGAATACCTTTTTAGCTCACCTGTCACAAAGTGACAGGGTGAGCTTTTGTGATCGCTTTTCGTCCGGCATCCGTCCGTCCGTAAACTTTTGCTTTAAATGACATCTCCTCATAAACCACTAAGCCAATTTCATCCAAACTTCACAGGAATGTCCCTTTGGTGGTCACCTTTAAAAATTGTTCAAAGAATTTAATTCCATGCAGAACTCTGGTTGCCATGGCAACCAAAAGAAAAATCTTTAAATATCTTCTTTTAAACAACCCTAAGAGCTAGAGCTTAGATATTAGGGGGTCATTGATTTTCCCTATATGTATATAGTAAAAACTTAAAAAAAAACTTCTTTTAAAGAACCCAAAGAGCTAGAGCTAAGATATTTGGCATGAAACATCTTCTAGTGAGTGTCTACCAAGTTTGTTCAAATAAAACCCCTGGGGTCAAAATTGGCCCCGCCCTAGGGGGTCATTGATTTTCCCTATATGCATATAGTAAAAACCTAAAAAATCTTCTTTTAAAGAACTCAAAGAGCTACAGCTAAGATATTTAGCATGAAACATGTTCTAATGGGTGTCTACCAATTTTGTTCAAATAAAACCCCTGGGGTCAAAATTGGCCCCGCCCCGGGGGTCATTGATTTTCCTTATATGTGTATGGCCAAAACTTAAAAAATCTTTTTTGAAAAAACCCATATAGCTAGAGTTTAGATATTAAGCATGAAACATCTTCTAATCAGTGTCTACAAAGTTTGTTCAAATAATAGCCCCGGGGTCAAAATTGGCCCCGCACCAGGGGTCATTGATTTTCCTTATATGTGTATGGCAAAAACTTAAAAATCTTCTTTGAAAAAACCCAAATAGCTAGAGTTTAGATATTAAGCATGAAACATCTTTAAGTAAATATCTACAAAGTTTGTTCAAATAAAAGCCCGGGGGTCAAAACTGGCCCTGCCCCAGGGGTGTCATTGTTTTTAACTATATGTGTATAGTAAAAACTTAAAAAATCTTCTTTTAAAAAACACAATGAGCTAGAACTTTGATGTTTAGCTTGAAATATCTTCTTATGGATGTCTACCAAGTCTGTTCAAATAAACAAATAAAAGCCCTTGGGTTAAAATTGGCCCTTGGGGGGGGGGGGGGGGAGCTATATACAGGTGAGCGACCTCAGGGCCATCATGGCCCTCTTGTTTTTTTATTACTGTCTATTTTTAGAACAGATTACTAGTACTATATACTGTGGAGTATTCTGTTACAGTTACTATCCAAAATCTTACATGATACCAGCAGTTCAAATTATACTTGGTATTTCTATTAGTTGTGAAGCTGACATTTTGGGATTGTGAAAGGGTCTTTTTGAAATTGCAAAGGGGCTTTTGTAAGGTCCCTGTTATAAAATGAAATAAAGCTTTGACTACATATACAAACTATTTCAATTGTTTTACTAGTATGTAGGTATGTAGGTAGAAAAAAATAGATATTTATACAGTGTCTGGAAATTATATAAAAACAATTGAAAGTCAGAAAGTTTTCAACTTTTCACATTTGCTTATGATGTAGGTAATCTTTGACTTACGGTTTATATAAGTACATCTAGTATAATTTGTATTTGAGAATTGTTGTGTTAAAAGCTGCATGCCTCCAGGTGAGCCAAAATATTTCAAGAAAATCAAACTTGAGAAAAATGTACAAAGATTTTAAGAAAAGATAAAGATACTAGTATAAATTACATGTTATGTGTGATAAATGACTGATTTTGTTGTATTATCACCATGTTTCTATGTGACTAACACAGTAAGGGCATCTTTTTTTGCATCTTTTGACCTCTTTTTGGTAATTATGCCCCCACTTCGAAGAAGAGGGGGTATATTGCTTTGCACTTGTCGGTCCGTCGGTCCGTAGACCAAATGGTTTCCGAGTGATAACTAAAGAACCCTTAGACCTACGAACTTCAAACTTGGTATGGTGATTGGTCATGACCAGTAGATGACCCCTATTGATTTTGGGGTCAAGGGGTCAAAGGTCAAGGTCATATTGACCTTGTAAGCAAAAACGGTTTCCGATCAATAACTAAAGAACCTTAAGGCCTAGGAACTTTAAACTTGGTATGGTGATTGGTCATGATCAGTATATGACCCCTATTGATTTTGGGGTCAAAGGTCAAGGTCACATTGACCACTTGGGTAAAAATGGTTTCTGATCAATAACTAAAGAACCCTTAGGCCTAGGGACTTCAAACTTGATATGGTGATTGGTCATGATCAGTAGATGACCCCTATTGATTTTGGGGTCAAGGGGTCAAAGGTCAAGGTCACATTGACCTCTTAGGTAAAAACGGTTTCCGATCAATAACTAAAGAACCCTTAGGCCTAGGAACTTCAAACTTGGTATGGTGATTGGTCATGACCAGCAGATGACCCCTATTGATTTTGGGGTCAAAGGTCAAGGTCACATTGACCTCTTAGGTAAAAACAGTTTCTGATCAATAACTAAAGAACCCTTAGGCCTAGGAACTTCAAACTTGGTATGGTGACTGGTCATGACCAGCAGATGACCCCTATTGATTTTGGGGTTTAGGGGTCAAAGGTCAAGGTCACATTGACCTTGAAGGTAAAAAACAGTTTCCGATCAACAACTAAAGAATCCTTAGGCCTAGGAACTTCAAACTTGGTATGGTGATTGGTCATGACCAGCAGATGACCCCTATTGATTTTGGGGTCAAGGGGTCAAAGGTCAAGGTCACATTGACCTTGTAGGTAAAAATGGTTTCTGATCAATTAACTAAAAACGCTTAGGCCTAAGAACTGCAAACTTTGTATGATGATTGGCCGTGACCAGCAGATGACCCCTATTGCGTTTTGGGTCAAGGTGCCAAAGGTCAAGGTCACATTGACCTTGTAAGTAAAAACGGTTTCTGATCAATAACTAAAGAACGCTTAGGCCTAGGAACGTCAAACTTGGTATGATGATTGGTCGTGACCAGCAGATGACCCCTAATGATTTTGGGATCAAGTGGTCAAAGGTCAAGGTCACATTGACCTTGTAAGTAAAAATGGTTTCTGATCAATAACTAAAGAACGCTTAGGCCTAGAAACTTCAAACTTGGTATGATGATTGGTCATTGCCAGCAGATGACCCCTATTGATTTTGGGGTCAAGGGGTCCAAGGTCAAGGTCACATTGACCCTGTAGGTAAAAACGGTTTCCGATCAATAACTAAAGAACGCTTAGGCATAGGAACTTCAAACTTTGTATGATGATTGGTCATGACCAGTAGATGACCCCTATTGATTTTGGGGTCAAGGGGTCAATGTCATATTGACCTTGTACTTAATGACGGTTTCTGTCCAATAACTCAACAACTCAAGTTGCCTTGGTTGATATTTTTATATTAAACTAAAAATGCTTTTGGTATTCACATTTGAAGGTCTTATGTAACATAACAACTTGGCTGTCAATAATGAGGCCTACATGATTCATAAAATTTATGCATATATTATTTGGTAAGATTTGTAATAACTTAAATTGCTGCACACAACCTATGGGGTCACAATAATTATTACCTTGTGACTAGTCATGACCAGTAGATACTAGATAACCCTTATTAATTGTTTGTTCAGTGGGTCAGAAGTCGTGCATAATAACCTGATCACATGACTAATTGGCTGCCGATAGGGGGCATACATGTTTTACAAACATATCTTGTTTACGTTGATTTTATGTGCTCTTGCAATGTGCACATATTTTGTTTTTGTGCACTTGTCTTTATTTTACTTTTCAATACATTTTCAAAATTTTCATGAAAATTAGCATGAATCTGGAGGTATGCTACTTTAAATAACAGAAAAATACCCATCTTTAACCCTTAACCTGCAGAATGTGTGTAACCTTATCTGTCCTGCTTTAAATTTGAGACAGTAAACATTGAATCATATTGAGCTGCTCACAGTATAGAGCCTAGTCAGACTATGAAAGTGCAGGTTATCCTATTTATACACTGGTTGCAAAGGCTAATGTTTGGTTTATATTGAATTTGTTTTAGTTTGATTGTGTAGGAAACTTTAAGCTTATGGATTCACTTTCAAATCCTTTCCTGGAACCAACCAGTACTAAGCAATAAGTGTAAAGTTTCAAGCTCAAGGAGACATTGACTTTGCCCCTGACAGGTTTTGAACCCATGCAACTAGCAATCATTAGATTACAACTACTTGGCCATGCCTCCTGGCTTCATGCTAAAGGCTAAAGGCAAAGGTTCCAGCAGGTTAAGAGTTGTTATGATGAGGTGTTTATGCAATGAAATTTGACCTATTATTAAATATGATTAAAATAGTGTTTATACACATGTACCAATAATATGCTTGCTTATACTAACATTGTATATGAAGTCTCACAAATAAACTTACCTGACTTCTTGCTTAATAACTAAAAGATAATAATCAATTATTTTAATTGTGTTCTATTTCTTCTAAAAATATGACATTTGAATAAGTTTTAAAGTAAGATATGAGCTTAGAAATGTATTTATACAGTAAATTTGAGTTGAAATCTACCTATATTATTGAGGTATATTATTTTTGCCCTGGTAGCTGGGATATTACTCTGCACTGTCTATCTGTTTTTTCAGTGCCACCAGTTCACTATGACCTATGCACGAGAGATTATTAAATTCCTTGCTAATAAATTTCAAATGGTAAGATCAGAAGTTAATGTTTTTACTAACTCACCATTTAATTTAACCCCTGTAAATGTTTTGTTTTTATCTTGGTTAAAAAAATCACTTGTGAACAAAAACAATCACTTTTTACAAAAGATCACAAACCTCAATTTTATAACAAGATTTCTTTTTAGAAAACTGGGAGCTATCCATCTGCTGAACATGGTTTCACTGAAAATTCAGAACAAGGCAATGCACTGAAAACAACATAGAATAAAATTGACCCATCCATAATGACAATATACAAATAACGTGTCAGTGGTTTCTTTTATTTTTGTAATTTATCCATTTGATTGGTGCAAGTTTTCATGCACCTCAATGTAGTGTTTGAATGGTACACATGATAGTTGAATATTGTCATTATGGGTTGATTATTTTACAGTAAAGCTTGTGAGGGTTTGTCTAAAATCTATAACATATAGATATGCTTTATAGCTAGAGTAATAGTCCTTCAGTTTCTGTTATATCTTTACATAATCATATAACCTTGTTCAAGATTGTGCATGTATTAGATTTGTAAGTCTCAGGTCAGGAGTTCTTATCCTAGACATTGATTGTGATTGTATCTGAATGTTTGGTAATAGATTTCCATTGTGTCCTCCATCTTTGATTAAAGAGTTTTAAAGAGAAAGTAGCTGTAACTTTACCCAGAATAACATAGATAAAAACAAGTACAGAAACAGTGACAGAACATTGGTGGGTTATAACCAGGAACCTTATTCCCAATCAAAAATATAAGCTAATCTTTCCCCCAATTTCAAAAAATAATCCCAATGGGTGCAAAGAATCAAATTGGTCCAACTTCTGAGATAGATTAAATTGTTCTGATTGGCTTCTTAAATGAAATGATTTGATACATGATCAAACAATTGAAAAGAGTTTACAAGAAAATATAAAGTTATCAGAAGTAATAATAGTAATCATTTAACCAAATAATGGTAAAAGTAATCCAATTCAATCAATTACTAAGAGAAACTTATGGTAATCAAATGTAATTGTAATGAAAAATTGAAGAGGCAATTGTAATTTTACTCAGTTACAGGCAAAAGTAGTTTACCCAAAGTTGGTGCATATTTTATTCCAATTTATACCAGGGTCCTTTTCCAAAATAAATGGATAAGACCGTGAAAGAAGCTGGTAGTTCGACAACTGCCTGTTGGTGAATGACTCAAATTGTTTGAAAACCTGCGTAATTAAATGTCGTTACTAAACAGCTCAGGAACAACTAAAATCTTTGTCTTTTATCTCCATAGGTTACAGGTTATAGTGTTTTTTAAATATCTTAGTATGTGATCTTGGACAAACCTGAACAAGCATTACAGGAAAGGTAATTGCAGTATGAACTGACCTCTTTGATATGATATTTTATTTTAAAAAGAAAAGGTTTGTTTTCAGTGTCACCATTTGGCAGATGGATATATCCGTCCATTGATTACAATCATAGCCAATAAATTACAAATGGTAAGATTTATTGACTATTGTCTTAAACAAGTTTATTTAACCTGCCTAATGTGTGAAATGGATTTAACCTACTTTAAACTTGAGCAGTCCATTTTTGAAGTTTAAGGGATTTTGATATCATAATACAAAAAAAAGGAGTTTCTAACAGTATAGAGCCTGGTCAGACTGCACAGATGTACAGGCTAGCCAGGTTCCATACTTGTGGTAAAAGCTTATCTTTTTTGTTTCCAAACAGGTTCGGGTTAGAGTAAGTTATGTCACTTGAAACATTGTGAGGGAAAATTTTGAAAAATGAAATTGTTCAATCTTTACTCCTCTAGGTTTGTAAAATTGGTTTACATTTCTTTGAATTTGGAACACTCCATTGTTATTTTGAGGGATTTTAGTGTAAAGATACTGAACTTGAGCAGTCAGTTGTATAATGGTCTGGTTTGATTGCACAGATGTGCCGGTTGGCCTGACTAGACTGATGGTGTAGGCAAGATTGTATAACCACTAGCATTCAAACAGACAATTATTGCTCATGTATGAGCTTTCAAGTGGAAGATAATAATTAAGAATGCAATTTACTAGAAATTTTCTTTTCTCAATTTTGATGAATATATGATACTTGTGAAGATGAGTTATGACTTGAGTGTTTGGAAAATTAGGCTTGGTTGCTCTATTTGTACCAATTATTTCCTTCCCACATTGTCAGTATATTATCATATTTAGAATTACATTTATTTAAAAAAAAAAGAAACAGTTGTCTAATTTTGCATTGATTATTTTGCATTGAAGATTAATACCAAAATTGAAAATGATATGTGTCAAAATTTAAAAGTATTTATAAGGGTTAAGTATGAATAAAAGTATTTATAAGGGTTAAGTATGAATAAAAGTATTTATAAGGGTTAAGTATGAATAAAAGTATTTATAAGGGTTAAGTATGAATAAAAGTATTTATAAGGGTTAAGTATGAAAGATGATACTATACATATGTGTTTAAATGATTTATGATTATTTATATTATATGATGTAGGATCCAACGATCACATGTAAGATTGTTGGTCTGTGTGCCTCAGCTGACGTCAAGGATGATATGCAGCAGATGATGAAGAAAATGTTTACAGTTAGAAAATCCAAGGTACATAACATTTGTACTATTGCTGTGTTATATTTTGTAAATTATGATTACTTTTAAATGCTGAATCAATTCATTTTGTAACAAAATTTACAGTTTCTTGCAGGGAAAAAACTCATATTTCTACAATATAGGCTTGTTATGTAATTATTTTTAGTATCAAGACAGAAAATCTCCTTAAATCTGCTACAGAAATGTTTTAACTTGAACTATAAGATTATACTAAAATTGTTTTGGAAGCTATAAGCTTATTGGAACTCTTGAATCTGTTTTTTTAGTTTCTTGCTCAAAGAAAAATAGAGACAATTAGACAATGTTTTTTTAATTTGAAATAAAATCATATATATGTGATATACAAGTATATGTTCATAATTATCATGGTAATACTTGTATAGAATAAAGAAAACTCAGTTAATGTTATAACAGCAGGATTGTGGTTCTACTTGGCTGCATGTTTATGCCTGAAATGTAAAATTTAGATGGTGTGTGATGTGGAATTGATATGAACCTTTTGGACTCTGTAAATGAAAACGAGGCAATATGGGGTGTGATAGAGATGTTATATGAACCTGATGGACTCCTGAAATGAAAATAAGTCTATATGGGTGTGAGAGGATTTGATACAGGCTTTTTGTACTCTGTAAATGAAAACGAGGCAAAATTGATAGGAAGAGATCCAATAAAGATTTCTATTGGGAACATCATGTGATGCAAATGCTGAATGTGCGTTGTTGATATATTCTATAAGGTGTGAAATAAATAAATATATTTATGTGTATTTCATGTACATACAGGGTGTTATAACATCTGATGAGGAGTGTGTACTTTGCCAAGATTTTGTCAAGGAATTAGACACCTTAATGGAAGATTCAGCAAAACAGGTATTATATACTGTATTTATCTTACAAAAAATAAAGATATCCAGTATGTGGGATGTATGTATTGTGGTGTATAGAATATTGAAAAATGTGGCGACTTAAGTTATGATACTGGTATCATCATACTGAACTTTATGTAACAAAGTTAGAGAAATAAACATGTCAAATGTTGAGGGAATATTTCCCTTCTTAATTATCTGTTCTAAATTTTGTTGATTGATAGGAAAATTATTAAAATAAAATTGTATAAATACTTTTCAGACGGAGCTGTATACCTTGATAAGGAAATATTTCTGTTCCAAGACTGGGTCATTCGGTAGTCAGGTATGATAAAAGCACCTGATGTAGTCATGTGTATTATTTATTGTGATATAATTATGAATTTATTTCAGTTTCTAGTTACTCTTTGTTTAAAACTTTTCAACAGATTTGAACCAAACTTTCTAAGATGTATTTTCATGGGAGTGAACCAGTGCGTATTATCAAGATTTTGTGATTTTATTATTTTTGACCTATTTATGGCCCTTTGTTTTGTTATTTCACATATGTTATATATAGAGAAATATCCTTCTATGCACAACTCCTCCGACATTTCTCAAGATATTTCTACAAACTTTGTGTCACAGAGTTAATGTAAACTAAAGAATTTCAAACATGTAATGTAATGTTGATCACATGTTTGTCAGTTAGCTAATTTTTGTTCCATTTACTCCTAGCTCATTATTCAAGTATTTAATAAAGAGTGAATACCTTATTTATTACTGTCTATTTTTAGAACAGATTACTAGTCCAATATTTGGGGTATTCTGTTACATTTTACTTTCCAAAATTTTACAAGAGCAGCAGTTCAAACCCTACTTGGTATTTCATTTAATTTTGAAGCTGGCAATTTGAAATTGTGAAGGGGTCTTTTTGAAATTGCAAACAGGCTTTTATAAGGCCTCTGTTATAAAATGAAATAAAGCTCTGACTACATATACAAACTATTTCAATTGTTTTCCTAGTATGCAGGTAAAAAAAAATGAATATTTATACAGTGTTCAGAAATTATAGTAAAAGTATTGTAACATAGAAAGTTTTCAAATTTTCACATTTGCATATGATGTAGGTAATTTTTGCCTTATGATTTATATAATTACATGTAGTATAATAATTATGATATAGTTGAATATTGTCATTATGGGTTGATCATTTTAAATGTTACCTAATGGTAAAGCTTGTGAGGGTTTGTCTAAAATCTATAACATATGAGCCGCGTCATGACAAAACCAACAAAGTGCGTTTGCGACCAGCACGGATCCAGACCAGCCTGCGCATCTGCACAGTCTGATCAGGATCCATGCTGTTCGCTATCAGTTTCTCTACTTGTAATAGGGTTGGTAAGCGAACAGCATGGATCCTGATCAGACTGTGCGGATGCGCAGGCTGGTCTGGATCCATGCTGGTCGCAAACCCATTATGTTGGTTTTGTCATGGCACAGCTCATATATGCCTTAGCTAGAGTAATAGTCCTTTTGTTTCTGTTTTTACTTTATATAATCATATAACCTTGTTCAAGATTGTACATGTATTAGATTTGTAAGTCTCAGGTCAGAAGTTCTTATCCTAGACATTGATTGTGATTTTATCTGAATGTTTTGTAATAGATTTCCATGGTGTCCTCCATCTTTGATTAAAGAGTTTTAAAGAGAAAGTAGCTGTAACTTTCCCAAAATAAAGTAGATTAGTACAAATACAGAAACGACAGGATATTTTTGGGTTATAATTAGGGACCTTATTCCCAATAAAAAATATAACCTAATCTTTCCCCCAATTTAAAAAAAAACCCACGGGGATTTGTTGCTTGAATAAAATTATTGGATACATGATCACACACATGAATAGAGTTTACTAGAAATAGAAAGTAATCAGAAGTAACCATAGTAATCATAATCATTTAAGCAGTGTAAAAGTAATGTAATTCAGTCAATTACTAAGGAAAACTTATAGTAATCAAATGTAATTGTAATAAAAAATTGAAGAGGCAATTGTTATTTTACTCAGTTACAAACAAAAACATTTTTACCCAAATTCTGTGCGTAATTTCTTCCAATTTATGCCAGGGTCCTTTTCCAAAATAAATGGATGACTGTGAAAGAACACTGCTGGTAGTTTGACAATTGCCTGTTGGTGAATGACTCAAATTGTTAGAAAACCTGCGTAATTAAATTTTGTTACTAAACGGGCTCAGGAACAACTAAAATCAATCTCCCAAAGGATGTTTATCTGCAGAGGTTATAGGTTATAGTGTATTTTAAATATCTTAGTATATGATCTTGTACAAACCTGAACAAGCATTACAGGAAAGGTAATTGCAGTATGAACTGACCTCTTTGATATGATATTTATACCCCCGCACAACAAAGTTGTAAGGGGGGTATACTGGAATCACCTTGTCCGGCCGTCCGTCGGTTTTTTCTTGTCCGCCCAATAACTTAAGATTCCTTTGACCCTTAGTCTTCATATTTGGCATGGAGGTTAGTCATGATTAGTAGATGACCCCTATTGATTTTGAGGTCACTAGGTCAAAGGTCAAGGTCACAGGGGCCTTGACTTCAAAAAGCTTGTCCGCCCAATAACTTAAGATTCATTTGACCCAAAGTCTTCATATTTGGCATCGAGGTTAGTCATGATTAGTAGATGACCCCTATTGATTTTGAGGTCACCAGGTCAAAGGTCAAGGTCACAGGGGCCTTGACTTCAAAAAGCTTGTCCGCCCAATAACTAAGATTCCTTTGACCCACAGTCTTCATATTTGGCATGGAGGTTAGTCATGATTAGTAGATGACCCCTATTGATTTTGAGGTCACCAGGTCAAAGGTCAAGGTCACAGGGGCCTTGACTTGAAAAAGCTTGTCCGCCCAATAACTTGAGATTCCTTTGACCCACAGTCTTCATATTTGGAATGGAGGTTAGTCATGATAAGTAGATGACCCCTATTGATTTAAGGTCACCAGGTCAAAGGTCAAGGTCACAGGGACTTTGACTTCAAAAAGTTTGTCTGCCCAATAACTTTAGATTCCTATGACCCACAGTCTTCATATTTGGCATGGATGTTGATCATGACTATAAGGTGACCCCTATTGATTTTGAGGTCACTGGGTCAAAGGTCAAGGTCACAGGGACCTTGACAAAAAAAAAAGCTTTTCTTCTCAATTGCTAAAGTAAATGTCCTGTCCGCAATGTATTGATTTTGACATTTTCACATTTGAAGCATGTAGAATACATAACTTAGCAATGCACTGGCTTAGTAACCTCAGATTTGGCAGGGAGATTGTCCTTGAGCTCTAAATGGCCACTGTTGATTCTGACAAAGTGGTATGCGGGGGTATTCACGCCATCATAGTGGCAGTTCTAGTTTATTTTAAAAAGAAAAAGTTTGTTTTCAGTGTCACCAATTGGCAGATGCGTATATTCGTCCATTGATTACAATGCTAGCCAATAAATTACAAATGGTAAGATTCATGACAATTGTGTTAAACTCATTTATTTCACCTGCCTAATGTGTGAAATGGATTCAACCTACTTTAAACTGGAGCACTTTAAAGTTTAAGGGATTTTAATATCATAATACAAAAAACGAGTTTCTAACAGTATAGAGCCTGGTCAGACTGCATGGATGTACAAGCTAGCCAGGTTCCATACTTGTGGCAAAAGCTTATCACTTTCATTTCCAACAAGTTCAGGGTTAGAGTAAGTTATGTTTCTTGAAACATTATTGTGAGGAAAAATTTTTAACAATGAAATTGTTCAATCTTTACTCCTCTAGGTTTGTAAAATGGACGTACATTTCTTTAAATTGGAACACTCCATTGTTATTTTAAGGGATTTTAATATCAAGATACTGAGCTTGAGCAATCAGCTGTATAATGGTCTTGTTTGATTGCACAGATGTGCCTGTTGGCCTGACTGTAGACTGATGGTATAGACAATATTGTATAACCACTAGCATTCAAACTGACAATTATTGCTCATGTATGAGCTTTTAAGGGGAAGATAATAATTTAGAATGCAATTTACTAGAAATTTTCTTTTCTCAATTTTGATGAATACATGATTCATGTGAAGATGAGTTATGACTTGAGTGTTTGGAAAATTAGGCTTGGTTGCTCTATTTGTATCAATTATTTCCTTCCCACATTGTCCGTATATAATCATATTGAGAACTACATTTATTTTTAAAAAAAAGAAACTATTGTCTCATTTTGCATTGATTATTTTCATGAAGATTAATACCAAGAATGAAAATATATGTCAAAATTTAAAAGTATTTATAAGGGTTAAGTATGAATAAAAAAGTATGAATAAAAGTATTTATAAGGGTTAAGTATGAATAAAAGTATTTATAAGGGTTAAGTATGAAAGATGATAATATAATCGGTTTAAATGATTTATGATTATTTATATTATATGATGTAGGATCCAACAATCACATGTAAGATTGTTGGTCTGTGTGCCTCAGCTGACACCAAGGTTGATATGATGCAGATGATGAAGAAAATGTTTACCATTAGAAAATCCAAGGTACATAACATTTGTACTATTGCTGTGTTATATTTTGTAAAATATGATTACTTTTAAATGCTGAATCAATTCATTTTGTAACAAAATTTACAATTTCTTGCAGGGAAAAAACTCATATTTCTCTGATACATGCTTGTTATGTAATTATTTTTAATATCGGACAGAAAATCTGCTTAAATCTGCTACAGAAATGTTTTAACTGGAATTATTAAATTACACTAAAATTGTTTTGGAAGCTATAAGCTTATTGGAACTCTTGAATCTGTTTTTTTAGTTTCTTGCTCAATGAAATAGAGACAATTAGACAATGTTTGTTTTAATTTGAAATAAAATCATATATATGTGATATACAAGTATATGTTCATAATGATCATGGTAATACTTGTATAGAATAAAGAAAACTCAGTTAATGTTATAACAGCAGGATTGTGGTTCTACTTGGCTGCATGTTTATGTCTGAAATGTTTTATAAAGGGGCACCTGAGGTCTCCTTCTCCAATATATAAAGTTGGAAAAATGGCCACATGGTCTTTACAGTATTGGTGTGGCTTAAAAGCCAGCAGTAGGAAATTTATGACTATTAAAAGCAAATCTTTTTTTAACTCATGATATTGGGAATTTAAAGAAATGCTATAAATATCAATATATTTATTTGTAGGGTGTAGTTGGGAACAAGGTTGGAGATGAGGAATGTGATGTATGTAAAGATTTAATTAATCAGGTTGATGAACTGATCAGAGATAAAGCTAATCAGGTAACTTTGTAATCTTTTACTGTGTATGGCCCTTAGCCCACTGAAAATGATTGGCCCTTGCCACCAGTATAGAGTCAGGACAGCCAGATCAGCATCAATACTGTTGGCCAACTTATTTTAAATTTTAATATTGATTTCCCCATACTGTTAACATATTGTTTCAAAAATAGAAGCTGAAGAACTCTTTCATAGAAATCCTGCAGATTTAGGAATAAATATCAGTTTGAAGTGCATTGTTGAAGAAAAATGCACTGTTCAAGTTTAAATGAATATAGTCACTGAGGCCTGAGTGAGTAATTACAAAGCATTTGAATAATAAACCCATGCATTATTATACTAACATGCAAGAAACTTCGATATCTATTTCCATTCTAACATGCGGATAAAAAGAGAATTGATGAAAATATGTTGAACTACATTGAGTGTAGAAGTGATTTTCCTGACATGGTTTGGTTTATTGATGTCATAATTTACTTCATGTGGTGTGTAAGCATTTGTTTTTTTGTGCTGTGCATATATCATGTAATTATGCACTTGACAGCTCTATCTGTTTGATAGGGGAATAGTGTGATGCATGTTAGAATAAAGGTAACAGAATGAATTGCTGTGTGTTATTTTTGTTTCTGAATAATGTTCATTGACAGAGAAAAAAAGCATGCATTAACAGAAAGATTTTTACAATCATGCTATAATAAATATGTTAATACTAGTTAAGATGATTCCAGTCATACTACACACATATGAAGACTTACCTGGTGAACTTTTGGTGGCAGAGACAAGTATTTATCGCTGTTGGTGTCCAAATTGTTACATAGTATCTATATGTATATTTCAGGACAAGTTTATTTATGAGGTGAAGAACGTTGTCTGTCCAGAACTTGGCACTTTACAAGATCAAGTGAGTTTTTTAAAACAATTATTTAACTTATGCCTGCATGTAACTGTAATTGTTGAAACTGGCTTCATTAATTGATACTTTAAAAGATTAATTTATGTTTAATGACCATATTGTAAGAAAGAGTATCTGAATTAAATATTTTACAGAGTTTTAGCCCCTGAGATTACAATAATTCACACATACTGCAATTTATATTGTTATTACCATAGAAGTTATTAGTTGTTTGTATAATACATGTTTATGCCTTTTGATTTTTTTATTATATTTCAAATAAGTTTTTCTAAGAAATTTGATGTAAAATTTACATGTTGTTGTTTTTTTTTTCTTTCAGTGTAAAGAACTTGTTGATGAGTATGCCCCTATGTTGTTTGAACTTCTTGTGAATGAACTGGTATGACTTATACTTTATTATGATCATTGTTGTTTTGTTGATTTGTTGTTGTTTGTAGAAAATCCCAAAAGTGTAAAATGTGCCAGAATGAAGTTTTTCCTCATTTTGTTGTTATATTTCAAGGGGACATGTTAAGTGTCCTATTTGATGTAAAATATATTTAAAGAATTGCTTATCTCTTAACATCATCATTTGACAGTTTACCTCAGAGAGTGTTGCTGTTTAATTTTGTTTAGCACCTTCTTCAAATGACAATCATAAAAACTTTCTGTTTATAGATTTAAGCATAACTGTTTTGTTAATGTGTAATAAGAACAATATTCAAACTTGTTAAATTCATATTTTTTTCAAGGTAAGCTATGCTAATCTAATAAGTTGTGCATGTTATTTATGCCTCATTATTTATCATTGTTCAGAGAATTTGTTTTTTCAAGGGTTCTTTAATTTACTTCTCAGGTTTGTATAGTATAATTCATATTGTTCAATAAATTTAGCATTGAATCTACACATATTCCATATCCTCTATTAATGTTAGTTATGTGGCTTGTTTTAGGACCCATCAACTTTCTGTGAAGAAGTTGGTTTTTGCCCGGTTCCCAGTGTAACTACTGTTGAACTAACAAAGGTTGAGGAACCAGCAGGTATGGTAGGAGCAGGCTATGTGAAACAGTCAGAGGAATGTACCATTTGTCTAACCATTCAGACATACGTGGATAATCTTCTTAAGAAGAATGACACTGTTGTGAGTATACTATATATATATACTTTATTGTGAGTTAAAATCACTATTACCCCTTTAACTATATGATATGGACTTACCCTATGTTAAATGGTTCTAGTTATATGTCCACTGGTTAATAATGAGATGGGCACCAACCAGGTTGTATGTGCATCTTATCTTAGATAGAGTTATTATTAAAAGTGGTTTTTGAAGGAAACCAGTGTGGAAATTACTTCTAATGAAAATTACTTTAATTATGGTTCAAATGAAATGAATCATTTCTGAATGCATTGAACAAAAATTGTGTTTTTTCTTTATTTATCGTACTTTATTTATAAACATGGCACTTTAATATTCTAATTTTCAAGTGTTTTAATTTTCACATTCATTACAGATGCTTAGAGCTTGGAATGGAAAAAAGAATAAAAAAGTAAAGATAAATAAAGAAAAGTAAAAACATAAAATGTATCTACTAAATCCATCTTGATATTCATACTTTGTTAAAGCACTTTGTTCAAGCAGGATTCACTTAAAGTGGTTTGCCACACTATAATTTAAGAGTTCTAGATTTAATACTAGAAAAATAGATGATATATTTAAAGTAAAATATTACTCTGATTACAGAAAACAATTGATGATTTACTGGACAAGGTGTGTAAAAGGCTGCCAACCAAGTTACTGGATGAACATTGTGAAGATTTTGTTCAGAAATTTGGACATGAAATGATTGATAAACTCTCCAAAGAGAATGTGTGTCAACTAATTGATGTCTGCCCTAAACAAAAAGGTATTGTCATATATTATATTGGTTTATCTATTAGTATATTTTTTGATATCTGCATATGACAATGACAGAAGAGAAAGGACATTTACAAACACAATCTATTATTCTATAGGGTAAAATAAGTTAAAAATCTCATTTGTATCTGCAAATCCAACATATCATAATATCATTATATGAGTGGCATGGCCAAGTTGTTAATCCGTCAGATTAGTATTCTATTGATGACAGATCACTAGCTACACATGGATTCTAAAGTGTGTTTATAAGCTTGTAGTTTATAAACTATAAATGCAATATGTATATTTCATTTTCATAAATTTGTTGTGAAGTAATTTTCATATGATATTTTGTATGATTTTTTTATAGCGCAAGTAAAGAAGATATCAGATGGGAAATGCGAGCTGTGTCAGTTGTTTGTTTCTGTATCAGAATCCTTGGTGGCCAACGTGTCTGAGGTAAGTTGTTCATCAAGATTTGTGCAAAGTTGTTTCCAGTTTGTTACTAAAAATAGACGAAAACAGATCCAACCAATCATATGCTGGTGGAAAGTTCTGAAACACTTGTCAGACTTCTTCTATGTTTTGGAATATGCAGCTTGTGAGAACGTCATTCTAGTTGATCTACAAAGGTTAATTGTGTCTACATAAATGTCTGATTTTCTGTGGAATAATTTATAGAGGGAATCTTTAGGTCTTTATCCATCATGAAAGCTGAAAACTTCCCATATGGCCTATAATATGTTGGCACTTCATATTCAGTCACAAATAAGTCATGATCTAGGGTCTATTATATTGTATGTTGTATCATATTGTGGCTTATGCCACTAGTCATGGAAAAAATTTTTAATCTTTAGTTTTTCTTAAATAATCATACAAAAGTCAAATCTTTTGATGTTGTGTCTATTGTTGCATCCATTTCCCTTCGTTATTTGTAGTTTAACACATAAATGCCTAATAATTATGACTTTTGAACAGATAATTTCTTATTTTTGTTATTGGCCTAGTTGAGGGTCTGCCATGGTTTTGGTAATGTTGAACTTCCAATCTGTTCAAATATTAACACTTTCTTGGCAGAATTTGAAAGAAAATAAAACAGATTTTTTTTTTAGTGATGTTTTATTGTCCAAAATACAAATTTCAATTCAACAAGTAGGAGTTTTCTAGATTTTAAACAATTTTTGATAACCATTTTTCAAGAAATTCTAAAAGTTAAAGTTTGTATCACTAAGATCTTTAATGAAATGTATCACTAAATAAAGGTTGTCAGGAAATGAAGACATGAAATGTTTGATTTTTACACAGCTAATTATATTTTTCATCAATATTTCAGAAATTTTATTTCTTGTAGCACTAAGTGTATAAGAGAAGTTCTTTACCACTGAATACGTGACAATAGTTCTTTTATTAAACTTGATAGAACGATGTTTGTATAATACATGCCTTTATTGAACCATGTACTTTTAGAACCATAACCTAACAGAACATGTCTGAACCATAACCTAATAGAACATACCTTTATAGAACCATAACCTAACAGAACATGTCTGAACCATAACCTAATAGAACATGTCTTTATAGAACCATAACCTAACAGAACATGTCTGAACCATAACCTAATAGAACATGTCTTTATAGAACCATAACCTAACAGAACATGTCTGAACCATAACCTAATAGAACATGTCTTTATAGAACCATAACCTAACAGAACATGTCTGAACCATAACCTAATAGAACATGTCTTTATAGAACCATAACCTAACAGAACATGTCTGAACCATAACCTAATAGAACATGTCTTTATAGAACCATGTCTCTGTAGAACCATGCACTTATAGAACTATAACGTAATAGAGCATGTCTAAACCATAACCTAATAAAACATGTCTTTATAGAACCATGTCTCTGTAGAACCATGCTTTACAGAATGGTGTTCACAATTTTAGTATCTTGATATTGGAATCTGATAAACTGTAAGTTCCTTAACAATGTACAAAGAAGGAAAATGCCTATCATAAAAATAGTAAACTGTTTTAAGATTATTTTGACTTTTACATAACATAGTTGAAGACTTTCAGAAGTGCTAATGTTGAACTTTTTGAATTACTAACTTGGATTCATCGACAAGCAAGGGATTATTCTTAATCAACTAGGTTTTGATTTACAAATAAAAATATGACTTGGCTGATATTTCCGTGAACAATTTTGGCTTTAGTAAATTAAGATCAAGAAAACATAGGCAGAAGAACTTCAAGTAATGTAAGATTAACTTCAATTAATGTAATCATAAAGCCTCAAATACTGAAAAGGAAATTTTGGTTTTATGTTGATGGTATAAGAACATGTAATTAGTAAGAAAGCTTTTAAGGCATATGGTGAGGAAACAACACATAGTAAATACAAAGACTAAAGTTGTTCAAGTTTCTTAAATGAGTTATGAAAGTTTAAGAAGTCATTAAAATCTTTGAGGGTGAAGAATCAAAGCTAGTGACAAAAGTTGACTGACAAATACCCTGTTGTAATCATTCAAGAGGTGTATCCATCCTCTTGATGGTTGTTTGCATGTCACAGCTTTTCTGACTCTCAGCATCACTCAGCTGACTGGCCTTGCGCCTCTCTACTGAATACAGCTCGCTGGTGTCTGGCATTGGAACCATGAACCTACAGCCCATAATGCTGTACAGGAACAGTAGCATTTCACGGCGAAACCTTTTTCCAGACACGCAGTAGAGAAACACATTGATGGAGGAGTTGATGACAATGCCAAGCTTGGCAATGGCGTATGACTCGCTGACAACATTGGTGTCCGCCTAGAAATACATATACAATGTTATAGGATGATAATTGTTTTCTTTCATGTTCGAAAATGTAATATATATAATAACAAAATATACATTTGCATTTATAAAGGTGTTAAAGATTTCTATGGGATGAGATGGAAATCTTTATTCATACCATTAAAGTATTATTTTTACATCATTCCCCTTGTGTTTATGATAAAGGTTTTACTTTGTTTGCATTTCTGAAGATGAAAAAGATTATAAAATTCCATAGTTTTGTAAATAGTTTATAAACCATTATCTCATTCTTAAAAGAACAAATAAACTGATTTTGTATCACATTTATATATCACTTACAAATTCTGGCTTCATCATGAAGAAGCACTGTGTGATACACTGAAGTGCAATCAAGGCAAGAAAGGTGAAGGTCACGGTCAGAAGGAGTTTAGTCAGCTGATTTTCTCTGCGCTGGGCTTTCATCTGAGCAATCTCACCACGGTTCTGCAGCATTGTCCTATATGATATATGAGATAGTATTTCAAATTGTTTGACAGACGTAAACATTACTTATGTATTTCAATATATATAATTCAGAATATTATTATTAACATACTTTCATTCAGATTTTAAATATTGTCATATGTCGACAAGTCATTTAGATTATTAACTATGTTTGATTTTTTTCCCGCAATAACATTATTGTTGTGATTAAGAAACATTTTCTTTTGAATGTTTAGTCTTGTATTAGTATTTACTATCAGCACTAACTTCTATTGGGCATACTGCTACAAGTAGAGACCTGTTGTAGGGAAAGATCATAAAATAAAGAAATACTTAAAGATAACACACAGGTAATGAATTTAAAGTATTTACTTGTTTAGGCTTGTTACCCGGCGTAAGATGGCCATGTTGAGAATGAGAATAGTAAGCCAGGGAGCCAGTACCAGGAACATGCAGTGTACCCAGAATTCATACATCTGGCTTCCTGTTCCTGCACCAAATTCTGTATAGCGGTAGGCTGGTTCCCCTGGTTTACGGTCAATGGTGTTGATAGGGTAGTATGTGTTGAAGTGTGGGGTGTTGATTATGAAACACAACGTTGTTATCAGGAAAATGCCTGTCTTAGCAGCCTTGTCAGTACACAATACCTGTTTTGAAATAAAACATACCTTTTGTTGACAAAAATAAAAGACACCTTTTGTTGACAAAAATAGTAACTTGTAATAAATGCTGATATGCATTATACATTGGCCTGTCCTTAAGTTTATATACACTCTTAGCTTCTGACTTTGATATACAAAAATGTATATTTCTGTTTCAAAACGAGTGGAATAAACAGGTCAAAAGGTGTTCATATGTTATAAGATTTTATTTTCTATCATTAAGTGTTAAGAAAGTAAGTGGTAATGCCAATTAGCCACTTGAAACTTTCAAAGCATTTTCACAATTTTGGAGTTGTTGCCAAAGATATCTTACAAGTTACATCTACATTGATGATAAATATTTATTGTTTAAATATCACTTTTTCTTGAAAAAATAAATTACAATTCAAAGGGAGAGAACTCACCTTAGCCTGAGTGATCCAGCATACCTGGATGTACCTGTCGACAGTGACACCAACCAGTGTCCATATACTGTTGACAACAAAGAAGTAGAAGATTGGGAACCCGATGTAAGAGTGGAACACTCCAAACTGATATCTACTCTTGAGTGTTGGGAATAGCATCACCAAGCTGTCGGACAGAAATACGAACACAAGAACTCCGATATCATTAATGGCTTGTGCAATCAAATACAATCCAGTCGATGAGCGAAGTGGTTTCTTCCGCCAGACGATAATGGAAAGCAGGTTTCCAATGATGCCTATCACCATGAAGATAGGGACACAGATTCCACTACTGATGTAGTGCATTTTCTCCGCTGTTTCAATCACCTCGTTCACATAGCTTTGATCTTTAATGGCAGTAGAACCATTCACCATGTCTGTTACATTGTCCCCAGTAGCATTCATCATTACCGCCTTCAAAAATTGAATAATTACCCTGGTACTAATACAGTGTTGAAATTATTTTGTTCTAAAATAGTGAGAGATTTTATGCTCCTAGCCTGCTAGTAACAACAGATTCTACCTGTACAACCAGTGCAGACAAAGATCAGCCGGCTCAGCTGTGTCATCTGATCATGGTCTGCACTGTTTGCTATTCAGTGTATACATATTTTGAAATTTTCCCTAAAAATGATAAATTGTTTGGTCCTGCTTTACAAATGGACAAGTCCATTTAATGTATTTAGTGTGGAAAGGGTTACACTAGTTCCTGGATCATTTCCATCTTTAATTATAAAATTCTTTTTTCTTTTTTACTTCTTTTGAGATTTTTAATTATTTAGAAACTCAATTTAAGAATAAAATTGAAACAAAAGTGGAGCTGTTGAGAATTGAGACTAAAGATGCTCTTATTTTGGTACTCTGTTATAATTTGAAAAAAATTTCAATATTAAAATACAAAATAATATAATATACATTGTAGTATTCAATTGTAGGGTTTGATTAGCCTAACACTGTTCATGCCTTGACACACTCTTAAATTATTTGGTTAAATATTTCATTTAAAAAAAAATAGATATACATGGTATTTATTTGTTTAGTTTTTATTTCAAAATGATAAAGAAAAAACTGTAAAATATAGATGCTGAAATCTTTGTTGTTTTTATCCATTATTGATTACATTGTTATATAAATAAACAAATTTACTTATATTTATCAACAATAAACATTATGTAATCTTTTTTTTGGTATTTTTTTTTGGGTATTTTTTTTTTTTTTTTCATAAAATTAAGTGTGACATAAAAATATCAAACTTACTTTAGTTACTAATTCCCTCTTAGATAGATTATAATTTACTGCTCAAACAACCTCTTTCCTGGAAAGTTTTTCTTGAAATGTGATGTTTTTCATTATAGCATAGCATCTCTCGGTCAGTTGATACCTTATAATTTAGTGATAATTCAGGTCTCTTAGGGTGATAATTACATATGTTACTTTTACATATATGGACAATAAAATATCTGGGCTGAAAATTACCTTATTTTAACTATAGACTTAATATCTGAAGCTCCACTAGACAAAATGCTGTAGCATTAACTACAAAGATAATTTGCAGTGTGTTTTGAAATTGCCTTAATTGTAAAATGTTGTTCATTTAAGATGTTTATGCTTCAAAATTATAAAATATAGAATTACCTGTGTATAATTATGTAACCTTACCACACTAAATATCTTAAATGGAGTTGTGTATTTTAACTCTGGTTTTAGTTTGACTTGAGGTACATTAAAAATTTTGTTAACTTTACCCTGCTGAAGCCAAAAGTGATTTAAGTCTTTTCCACCAGTATAGAGCCAGGCCAGCCTGCAAATCTGTGCAGTCTGACCTGGCTCTATACTGTTGGCTGGAAAACTTCAAATTCTCACCTTGATGTACCTAAAATCAATCATGGACTGTTCCAAAATGAAAATGGAAAAGTCCATTTAAGAAATTCAACAGGTTAAGGGTTAAGAATTATAAAGAACTGTTCATATTTATAGCAACCACTGTATCACTAGTCCAGTACATTACCACAGGGCCAGACTGTAGTCATCTGGATTTTAGTACATGCAATATTTATAATCAATCAAAACCAGGAATGGTATGTTCCAAATTTAGAGCAGGGCTATTCCATTATTATATAACTTCAGCATGGTAAGGGTCAAATTTTGTACTGTGTTACAAATATTATGTGGGTTGATATAATCTCCAAATTAAGATAAATTTGTTAATATCGTGATTTGTTTTTACACTTCATCAATAATATACTTCACCAATTATCATCATTTACAAGTTTGTAGATAATTGAATGTTAACTGGCGGAAAGTTATCACCAAATATTGACACATTCAGTTGTTTTGTTTGAGCCAAGCATGACAAAACTATATTATATGTTATATAAATTCATCAAGGTAAAGGTTAAAATAACTATTTTATAGATGATGAATGTAAGATTATGTTTCATAAATTATTCACATAAAATGCAATATATTTTCCTCTAATTCAAATCAATTGTCTACCACAAATTTTTGTTTACTACAACCAACATATTAACTGTTATGGCTAGTAATTTCTTTTCTTTCCATACAAAACAGATACAATTTCACACACATACATAAGATAAACAATTGTTGAAAAAGTTTACAGTATTAACATGGACGCTGTAGATTAAAAAAAGTAAAAGAGTTGGACCACAGGTTTTAACAAAATTAGAGATTACGTCCTTCACACAGAGTTTGATTGTATTGCATACCTTTATTTAAATAACCTTGATCCATAAGACCACAAGCAAAGCAACAAATAGGAAATCTGCCCACGAATTAATTGATGAATACTTGGCCAACGTGATATATAAAGTCAACTAAAATGGTTCTATCTTCAGTTTAATTACATAAACTGGTTTTACCTTATTTCAGAGGCTACCAACATTAGAAATACAAAATATTTCATAAGGATCCTTAAAGAGATCTTCACCAAAGGTTGTATGTATTATCTGAGATGGTCAGCTCAGAAGTAAAATTGTTTCATATATCGTTTACAATGAGAGAGATGGCCCACTGGTTAAGATAGCTGCATCTGAATCCAGGGACATTGTGTTGTTACCTTACTGTTACCCTTACTAAGGTCACAACCACCATTGTTCCTCATATGACAACTGTCCAGTACTGGTTAGTCTAGCAAATAGACACAAAGTGATTTTTCATGTCCCCCATCTTTCATTGTTATCAAGTTACAAGAAGATGTGATACATTCAAGAGTTTACTTAAAGTGAGCAACTTAAGACCAGTATGACCATCTTTTTCCATGAATATTCTTAAATGTCATGGCTTTTGTCAGATCAATAGTTTTATTATCAAGTCAATGTAAATATTGAAAGTAAGCACAAGTTATTCTTTTATGAATAATGGACATGCTGATTTATGTAATGTTCTAATATTTCACCTGATTGAAGCCCCTACAGGGCACCTGCAAATCTAATGTTATTTCTTTCCAATTTAATGGTCTGGAAATGTCGTGAAGTGTTTTTATATATGGTTCAAATGAGACAGTTTATGGTATTTTGTATTGTATTATAAATGTGGTTCTGTTCACATATTTGTATATTAAGCAGGATAGCATTTGTATGTGCCTAATAAAAAAGCAGACTGATAAGTAAATTAGAGTAAAATGGAAACCTAAACAGGGAAATAGAAAATGTTGCAGGCCCGGGGCCAGTTTGGTTGAGCATGTTCACGACTGATACTGCTGAATGTATTCTACTGCCCATCCCTCCTTTTTCCTTTGGTTGTTACCTATGTATGTGATGGGGATTTTGATGCAATTATTTTATCTCAACAACCAATGAAAGTGTTTATTAATTTGTTCCTTATATACTGGTTTCAATTATAATTGTCTCTCTAATCAAAGTAAAAAAATCACAAATAACAGGCACATCAGGAGAAGTCATCTATTGTATAAAGCAATCGTGATTGAATAATGGAAATACCACCCTCTTAGCTCAGTAGGGAAAGCATTTTATTTGTCATCTAAGGATGGTTGGATCCACAGGCAAGGTGAATGTTCTCTGTGACAATTGATGCCAAATATTGTTTTATTTTGTCTGATTGAGTGCAGTCATTACTATTTTTAGCTCGACTATTCGATAAGAATAAGTAGAGCTATTGTAGTCACCCGAGCGTCGGCGTCCGCGTCTGCGTAACCACTTATCTTAAAGTTTTTGTAATAGTTTAAATATTTTCAAAGTCCATTGACATATGGCTTTGAAACTTTGCACACTTGTTCACCATCATTACCCCAACCTGTAAACAGGAGGAGGTAACTGTATCAAGCATTTTGACAGAATAACACCCCTTTTTCGACTTAGAATTTACGTAAAAGTTTTTGTAATAGTTCAAATATTTTCAAAGTCCATTGACCTATGGCTTTTAAACTTTGCACACTTGTTCACCATCATTACCCCAACCCATAAGTAGGAGGAGGTAACTGTATCAATCATTTTGACAGAATTATGCCCCTTTTTTCGACTTAGAATTTATGTTAAAGTTTTTGTAATAGTTCAAATATTTTCAAAGTCCATTGACATATGGCTTTGAAACTTTGCACACTTGTTCACCATCATTACCCCAACCTGTAAACAGGAGGAGGTAATTGTATCAAGCATTTTGACAGAATAATGCCCATTTTTGGACTTAGAATTTATGTTAAAGTTTTTGTAATACCTCAAATATTTTCAAAGTCCATTGACATATGGCTTTGAAACTTTGCACACTTGTTCACCATCATTACCCCAACCTGTAAACAGGAGGAGGTAACTGTATCAAGCATTTTTTTTTTTACAATCAAGCACTAAGAATAGTCGAGCGTTGCTGTCCTACCGACAGCTCTTGTATAGTGGTTAATGTTTGTGTATTTAAATTATTAACAAATGCTTAGAAAAGATAAAACTGGTGTATTTCTTTAATTGTGTAAAAAAGCTGTCGCACTAGTATAAGATGATTCTTTGTTTATTACAGGATGTAATTTTGAACGACCTTAGAGGACTGTGTAGCGTTATACCAGGAAATTTTTCAGCGACATGTTTGAATTATGTAAATGTTTATGGACCTTTGGTAATCAGTGCTTTGAAGACAAAAGAAGATCCAAAGACACTATGTCAACTTATGACTGCATGCCCAGCAAAACACCTACCTTACATGACTAAACCAATTCCGGAAACATTACGTAAGTGATTGTTGTTTACCTTACATGAAATAGTGTGTTAGTGACTTTAGTTGTGCATTTTATAATAAATTATTTAATAAAAGAAAAACATTGGACCATTTTGTCTGTATGGGTAGTTTGATTTTTTATATCTTGCAAATTAGCAATGTACTCCTAAATTTAACCTAGAATAAAGTATGATAGGGACAAAGAACTAGACATTAAAGTGGCATCATTTTCTCTTCCTGTCAAGCACACACACTCTGCTATTTTTTCTTGTTGATCATTGTGAAAGGGTATCATTTTGTCTATAAGAAATGGTGTTTACATGTTTGTTTGTTTTGGGTTTTACGTCACATCGACACAGTATAGGTCATATCGCAACGTTCCAGCTTTACTGGTGGAGGAAGACCTCAGATGCCCTTCCGTGCATTATTTCAGGCACGAAGGGGCAACTGAGTAGAACCACCGACGTTCCGTGAGCTAGCTAGATAGGTGTTTACATGTATAAGAGAATTGTAAGACAAGGGGCATAGGATTTTGACAGTCCTTTCATATGTAAAGTGTAAAAAAAAACATGATTTTTATCACTAAATGAAGTTTTACTTAATAATTTTTAATAATTTTGCTAATATTTGTTAATTTCAGCTGCATTGAAAGCTCCTTCAAAAGAGTGTGAATTCTGTGACACAGCTGTTGTTATGGTAAAATATTTACTGGAAAACAAGGCAACTGAGGTAAGAATTTATGTATTATTTCTTTGTGTCCTATTAATTGTTCTAACACGACCCGCATTTTTCCCTATTGAACATAGAAGAACCGAAAGTGTGTATTATTATGCTATAAAATCACTGTTTGAAGTTCTATATTTAGATATGTGACGTAATCGTTATACACATGACGTAACCACTAAAAATGTGACGCGCTGAAAATAAGTACGGAAACAAATCAGGTGCAGTTTATCTAATTATCATGTACGGCAGCATTTATTTGTTGATGTCGTGTTAGAATCGAAATAATATATCCAAATTGGTGATTTTATTGCTTGATAACATCACTGTTTGTCGTTCGGATGCGCATCATTATATAACTCGGGCTACGCCCTCGTGATATAATTCCCCGCATCCGAACTCCAAACAGTGATGTTATTGAGCAATAAAATCACAGTTTGGGATATATTATTTCTTAATTATAATTGCTTGTTAAGAAATCAATTCAGTTTAATAAAGATGTATACAGGTATGAGAATAATGGCTTTTAAATATAGAATGTATTAGGCTAACAAATTCAATGTTAATTTAGCATAAAGGTTATTGATAAACAGAGAACGCAGGATTTTCATTAACAACACATTGGTGATCCTTATCATTGTTTAAAATGCTGAAGACTGTTGATAAAAATACCCACCTTTAGACCTCGCTGATTGGTTGTTTTGGCACATCTGTTATCTCAGGTAAAAATGAAAATCCTGATAACAGAAAAATATTTGTGATTTATTTTTTCACTATTCAAACTAATGATATTAAAATATTGAAAAAAGCTCTAACAGTTGTAATCATATGCTTCCAAAGTAATATAAACATTGAAGCATGAAGATGTTTATCAAAATTAAAAATCACCTTATAGATATTGGAAATTTGTATTTTCATAGAAGATTATGGATGGTCTTTGTAAATATGCCTATTCCTCATCTTGGAGACTCTTGAAGATTTGTGAGTCACATAATGATTCTTATATGAACTGCATTTTAATACAATTTGTATATCTATTTTCAGGCTGAATTAGAAAAGGCTTTGGATGGACTATGTAAATATGCATCTTCGCTGGCACCAGTATGTACAAGTCTTGTGGCACTTTATGGAGACAAGATTATTGCCTTGGTGATCAGCGAATTGAATGCCAATGAAATATGTAGTACACTTAGACTTTGCACGGAAATGAAGAAACAGGCCCCAGCTCTGTCAGCAATTATGTCCCCTTATGATATACTCCCAGTGGGAAAAGTTGTAGAGAATGAAAAAGGTTTGTAATATTTCTTAAATTTAGTGTATCTGTCATTTATCAATATTTTGTTGAAATTTCCGTTTTAGACAGCTCTGTAGTTACACATGTACCGAATCTGAACAATTTATACATGTATAAAAGATATCGTAGAATGTAAGAGTGCATTGATGGACTTGTACATGAACTGTATGAGCTTACAGATTTTATTACTTCAATGCATAATGTAATGATATGAAAATGAACATTTTACATTAAAGTTTTAGTCTTTTGTTAAAGGGAGACACAGGCAAAATTTACATTTCTTCGTTTTGATTTTTTCATTCATTTTTCTATAAATGTCCTCAAAATAAATACACTAGGCAGTCATAGGAACAAAACTTTACTTCTTATAAAGAATAAAATGGTGGTTTCCTAACTTGACCCGCGTGGGTCAGGTTAGAGCGTTAAGATATCACATAAGTTCCCACAGTGAACTATGGTAACGTTAAAGAACATATCAAATGAATGACTTAGACTTGTTTCAATCATTCAATATCCACAAAATCTGTTATTGTAACTTCCAAGGTTTCTTCAAGTCACATGGCTTGTTTTAAAACTATTCGGTGATTCTGTCGGCGTCTAAATTTCGTTCAATACATCTAGATATATTTACGCTTCAGACCCAAAATATATAGAATTTATACAGAATTTCATGCTGGGACTTTAGAAAAAGTTATTTTAGTGTGATTTGAGTACTTTAAATCATTTTGATATTTTTGTCATTTATTTGCCTGAGTATCCCTTTAAAAAAAAACTCCTACCAGATAAGAATGCCATGCTCACCAAAAACTTGTGTATTATTCTGATAGTTGTTGCTTGGTAATTTCTTCCACTGTTGTATCACACTTGCTTCAGGTTACTCAAAACACCTTCATTTTCTTAAAGGAATTTCAGATAATTAATGTGTTGGTTCTTTTTTCATGGACTTCTACCATAAAGAAAAGTTTCAGGTTGATTGTGTCAAGGTCACTAAGGCTAAATTAGATTTCAAAATTTCTATTTTTGATCATAGTTAGGCCATATTTTTCACATTGTCAAATTAACATCAAGTATCATTTGTTAATGTTAAACATTTTGTTTCAGAACAGATTTTTTTAAAAACAAAAACAAGGGTTTTATGTTACAGAAATATGAAAACATGTTAAGATAATGTAGCAGACTAACAGTATAGACAATCTTTTATAATGTGTGTGAGGACATTACCAGTGTACTTTCTTATTACAGCATCTGTGAAGGTCCCATCAAAGGAATGTGAATTGTGTGATACTGTAGTTGTTATGATAAAATATTACTTGAACTCAAATCAAACAGACGTAAGTTTTACCTGCAAGTTTTACCTTTCGTTTAAACAAGACTTCATATGAATGCTGATGTATTTCTAGCTTACTTAAACACAAAGTAATCAGAGATGAGCAATTGTGATAGCTGGATTGTTACCATACTGTACAGGAATGGGCTTTATAGACCTTCTTCAAAATTTACTAAAATGGTTCTTTACTAAGGCATAAGTAGGATTTTATGGGGAGATGCTTACACTGTAGAGATGTCAGCTCCGTATATGATTTATAATGTTTTAAAATTTAGTGATAATTAATTCCAGCATACATGTATGTCAGTGTATAAATATACTGAACCAAAAAAGAAACTTTCTCAAAGTATGTGCAAGTTGTTCAAGGGTACCACTTAGATGTACACACTTATATACATGTAGTAGCTTGTAAAACTCGTTTTGTTTACAAAATCTGTCAGGTTATCCCCGTATAAAAGCCCGATATGTTTATTCAACATAAAAATCGAGTTTCAAAAGGATTGAAAACAAACTGTACTAACATAATTATCTACATTCAAACTTGGAGAAAGTTTCTTTTTTGTTTCAGTATACATATACATGTTAAGTTTATGGTATACATGATACATACAGAGATAGCTGAACTGTTTTACTCATAGCTTGTTATAAGCCTTTCCTATGATCACATTTGAATATTACATCTGTATATATTATACTTTAAGCAAGTATTGAATATATTTTAATCATATTTAAGTTTGATGTATATGAAGAAAGCTTATAGACTGCTAGTATAGTTTGTTAGTTTTTTTTTTGCTGAATTTTTTGGTTTGGTTTTACAGCACACTGACACAATTTAGGTCATATAGTGTATAGTATAAAACAATAAACAATAATGATATGATAAATTTTATTTTAGATATTTAAGATGTTAAGATTTTCATTTGAGGATTGCTTTAATTATGACCTGTTGCATTTTCTTCAAGGATGAAATCAAGGCTGCAATGGAGGCATTATGTGGGGAGATTCCTGCCGAAGAGATTTCAGGATTATGCAAGTCCCTGGTGGATCAGTATGCATTTCAGATTATTGAGCTACTACGAAAAGAGTTGAATGCTACATATATTTGTACAAAGTTGGGCTTTTGCAAAGCTCTAACAAAACAGGTGTCTGCTGTATCAGTGATTATGTCCCCTTATGATACTCTTCCAATTGTAAATCCAGTGGAAAATAAACCAGGTATTTCTATATTAATTAATTTGCTTTTTAATCGTGTTGAAGTAATTTGGGTTATGTTCATTCAGATGTTACATTTATCAATGTAATGTGGTATGTTTCTACATAACAAAGTTGTTTTTTTAGTATAAAAATGAAGATTCTGCCTCAATCTCTATAATGTGTATCATGATGATAATTGTTATAGGTGACTGAATATGTATTTTTTATATGGAATATATATATGAATGACTTATGTAAGCTTTTACATGCTGACTTTCCTAAATGGACTTTTCCAGCTTCTATTTTTGGATTTGTCAATTTTCAATGCAAGGATATTGAGATGAAAATTTGAAGTTACTTATTTAATAGCATAGAGACTAGTTAAACTGCATGGATGTGCAGAGGGCTGGCCGGGCTCTATACTGGTGGCAAAGGCTTGTCACCTTTGTATCCCGCAAATTCTGAACTTAAAGTTAGGAACTATTTTTTGAAAGCTGAAGTTTTTTTACAAAGGGTTGTTTGGTTTTCAGTTGTACAGACATCAGAACAGTGTGAGTTATGTAAAGAGGCTATCAACATGATGAAGTCCTACATCACGAAAAAATCAACAAGGGTATACATGTTTTGTATTCATACACTTGTAATAGAAATATTTAAAGTGGAAAGGTCTACAATGGGCACAAATTCCATAATATATATATTGTTTTAAATATTGATAAAAACAATAGAAATGTATCATTTGGATATTCTCATGAAATGCTGCTGGAAAAAAAATGTCAGTCAAGTTCTACTTGATGTAAATTTATGTGATGAATAATAATATATTGTTTAAAAAAAAATTATCTGCTATATAAATGAATGTAATATTATTAGTTATAAAGATCGTTGACAGGTTATATGGCCCTATATAAACGGGTATTTGTAAATATAACCCGAGCCGTTAGGCGAGGGATATATTGCAAACAGCCGTTTATATACGCCATATAACCTGTCAACAATCTTTATAACAAATTAATAATACAGCAAGCATCATTTTTAGAGAAAAAAGTAAGATTACTTCATGAATCGCCATCAGCCGTGTATATAAAACTATATAAATGTCACGACTATCCAATGAAAAATGACGTTACAAACGTGCAGTATTATAATGGATTATGTATCTCTGTCTTGCCAACAACTTCAGTGTATAATTCTTTTATGATTTCTTTCTAAATACTATTAAGAGTATTATTTACTATTAATTCATTGTATTACAGACCTTTCATTATAGACCTCTTCACTTAAATAATTGCTAAAATGTATATGACTTTTTATTAGCACTTTTCCCAAATATCTAATAGCATTAGACCGTGAAAGTTAAAGCATTGTTTAAATTGTTCTCTTCTTTCAACTTATTTACCCCAACTCACTTTTATCCTTATGTAAACAATACGTCAAAATGATTGAATTGAATAATATATGGTGGTTGATGTAGTAATTTTAAGAATTAAAGCTCAATGAAGCAATCTTTTATAACTAAAATGAGCCGCGCCACGACAAAACCAACATAATGGTTTGCCACAACAGTGGAATTCAGAATTCTGCGCATTTGCAGTATGATTCATGAATTCCATTGTATTGCGCTTATTAAGACCCTTATTAAATAAGTAAACTGATAGCGAACACTTCCCAATATCTAATCAGATGCGCGGATGCGACAGGCTTTTCTGATCCCATACTTGTTCGCAAACGCCATTAATGTTTTGGTGGTTTGTAGTGATTAAGGCTCAAATAGCCTTTTACGAATGTTTTGCAATTCATGATACTCCTCAGCAGTCATGTATTGTTACCTTTAGCATTTGAATTAAAAAAGAATATTTTAAAATGATATAAAAATAAAACAGCAATCACTTACTTGTTAATTTATTAATTTCCCTTTCTGATTATCGGCCAACTATTTCACTAAAAAAATTCTAAGTCATTCAAAGTAATGTAATGTATGATAGTATAAAGATCACTCTCATATCTATTTGCCATTTTTAATGGCTCCAAATCTGAGTATGCCAATGAGCATCTATTTTTCGTAATTTCCACTTTAACTACTTTACATACAACTTGTGACTTTTATTGCTCAAAACTGTAAACAAAGCAAATGAATCTACAGTACTAAAAATTTAATTAATACACTATTTAGTATTATTCATTTAATGTCTTTGTGATAGTACAAGTTTAACCCTTGTTGGTTTTTTGAAGATTGCTGCAATGTAAATTTTAATGGGGACTTAAATACTTTCCTGCAATTAAAGACATCTTATGAGACCTTAAAAAATAAAAAATATCATCGAGTCATGGGAGGTAATAATACAAGGGCATCTGTGGATATTCAGTTTTGTTATGTAAATTTGTATAAAATAGTTGTTTATGATGAAATAATATTGATCAGAATAATTGTTTATGATTAAATAATGTAGATCTGCTTCATTTTATTGTAGGAGGAAATTAAGAAGGTTGTAGAAACATTCTGTACGAAAGTTCCGTCTGTATTTAAATCAAAGTGTGATAATCTGATACAACAATATGGAGATATTATCATTAACTTACTGGTACAAGAGGCTGATGCTGAAAAGATCTGTGAAGAAATTAAACAATGTGTTGCATCTATATCTGACATTATGTCACCATATGATACACTTCCTATTGTACAACCTGTCAGTAATGATAAAGGTAAAATTATACTCTTTCTTATGTATTAATTTTTTTAAACCTAATTACTCAACCTTAACTTCTATTTACCAGATTACAGTACCTCAGGTATTACTGATTTGAATATTTCTTCATATTATGATATCCTGCTACTTTGAAATATGTTACTGAGTATTTATCATTAAATATGTACCACCCTTTAAAACCAAGTATCACCCAAAACTGCCAAGTACCACATCTTTTAAACAAGTGTTATCCCATACAGTCAAATACAAACTGTACAAGTACAAATTTTTGACAATGGTGTGCCACCCTTATTATTAAGTCCTTCCCCTTACAACAATGTTCTACCTTTTACAACTTGCAAGCAAGTACCGTCCCTAACTTCTGGGTACCACCCTTTACAATCAAGTACTATTTTATTAGAACCAAGCATCACCCCTTTCAACCAAGTGCCATCCTTTACATATAAGTACCTCTCCATACAACAAGTACCCCCCTTTACAACTAAATATATAATCTCTTACATCTGAGTACCACTCCTTACAAACAAATACCACCCGTACAACCAAGTATCACCCCTAACAATCACGGCAAACCCGTACAACCAAGCACCATCCCATAAAACCATCTCTTACATCAGAGTACCACTCCTTATAACCAATACCTCTTTTGCATTCAAATACCACCCATTAAATTCTCAAGTACCATCCTCAACATCTCAGTGCCACCCCATAGAACCAAGTTTATCCTTTACACCTGAGTACCACCTTGACAACCAAGTACCACCCTTTAAAACTAAGTGCCCCACCTCTAAACCAAATATTACTTGATACAACCAAAAACTGCCCTTATATCCAGGTACCATTCCTTATTACCATGTATCATCAGATACAATTGCTACTACAATTAAATAAAAGTAGTATCCACTCATTTGAATAATTTAATATAAAATGCATTATTTCTTGTATTTTCAGTGTCAGAGAAAGCAGGTAATGTGGTAGAATGTGAGGCCTGTAAATACGTCATGAACTTCTTAGATAAGGAGTTACAGAATAATAAAACTGAGGTAAGTAAACACTTAGTGTTATCTGCTACATTTATAATTAAAATGTGTATTTTGTGAAATATATACCCTATTTCCATAGTTCCAGTGGCATGATTAAGTTACACCAATTGTCAGTACATATTTTCTTATTGTTTCTTACCGGCTAATTAACAGAAACTGAAAGTTGAACTTGATTTTTTGAATTCCTTTAGTTTATAGAAATTTATTCTACTGGTCGGAGACCAACAACCGGACACTTTTTGAACATTTTTCCGTACAGATTTCATAATTTTTAACCTAGAGAGTGTCCGGACAGATATGTACATGACATGATTTAATTCAGATAAAAACTTGGGTGTTTTGATTTTTGATTTTTAACATGATGTACAATATTTCAGCAACAAATGCTGAAGTTTTGGGTATTCTATTGTTTACTCTGCAAATGATTACAGCTGGTATATGAGGTCAGGCATTACTTTCTTGACCCCCAAATTTCAATGTCAACATTTTTGAAATAGACATTAAAATATTACCATTTACGGAGGTTGAAATAAATTTATTTACTTAATTTTAGAAGAAACATGCATTTATTGTTGATAAAATAGTGACTGACATCCACTGATAAAAGAAAATACTAAATTAAGCATTTTCGGGGCCATCCGGATTTGGTGGTTGTCCGGTTTTGGCGGTCCCCAACCAGTATAGTTCTATTGCGTTAGAAGCTATAAGCTTATTGAAACACTCTCGAATCCACTCCTGGAACCAACCAGTACTATGCAATGAATGTAAAGTTTCTTGCTCAAGGAAACAACTGCCCCTGACGGGATTTGAACCCACGCGGTCAGCAATTCTTAGATAACTAGTCTGAGGTGTTAACCACTCGGCCATGCGGCCACTCATTCTACATAATGCTTGTGCCTGAATTCATGCATGGAGATGCACTCCACCAGTAAACCCAGAAATTTGCTGCATGAATTTAACAGTTTGTAGTGACTTAAAACCAAACCAAATAAGCCGAAAACTTGAGCAATTCTCTATCAAATGCCCTTTACTGCTATTAGTTCGAGTCTGTTCAAGGTGTTGAATTCTCATATGTAAGAAACCTATCCAGATAGCTTGTAGTAAGTCAGTGCTTTTATGCCGGTACTCTTTGTGATGCCACTAAATGCCACTCAAGGTTGTATGCTACAAGTATACCTTGAATGGTGCTACACGACTGAAACAATGTTAATGTGACTTAATCCCAACCACCCCCCACCCCTCCCCTCCTAAACATTGCCCCATACTATTTATTTAACATTTAAAGCATTGACTCTTTTGCATACAGGAAAACATTAAAGCAGCATTGAAAGAGATCTGTTCTAAGATGCCCAGCGAGATAAAAGACCAGTGTACAAAGCTTGTTGATCAGTATGCCCAAGCAGTAATCAACTTTCTGATAATGGATATGAGCCCAGATGAAATATGCAAGGCTTTAAGCCTCTGTGATTCTAAAGTTAAACAGCTTCCTAAACCAGTACATGTTAAATTACTGAAAGATGCCAAAGGTAATAATTGTTACTATATACAAATACATGGAAGATTTATTGCATCATATTTACATATATGGAAGGCTTTTGCATCAAATTCTTATTTATGAAAGATTCATATAGTCATCGAAAAAAAGATTCTTAAGATCATTGTTACATCATTGGATGTGTTGATACTTGACACATCATAATCTCATTTATAGTAGAAACATGACATCATATTCACTTTTATAGTAGAAACATGACATCATATTCTCATTTATAGTAGAAACATGACATCATATTCTCATTTATAGTAGAAACATGACATCATATTCTCATTTATAGTAGAAACATGACATCATATTCTCATTTATAGTAGAAACATGACATCATATTCTCATTTATAGTAGAAACATGACATCATATTCTCATTTATAGTAGAAACAGGACATCATATTCTCATTTATAGTAGAAACAGGACATCATATTCTCATTTATAGTAGAAACAGGACATCATATTCTCATTTATAGTAGAAACAGGACATCATATTCTCATTTATAGTAGAAACAGGACATCATATTCTCATTTATAGTAGAAACATGACATCATATTCTCATTTATAGTAGAAACATGACATCATATTCTCATTTATAGTAGAAACAGGACATCATATTCTCATTTATAGTAGAAACAGGACATCATACTCTCATTTATAGTAGAAACAGGACATCATATTCTCATTTATAGTAGAAACAGGACATCATATTCTCATTTATAGTAGAAACATGACATCATATTCTCATTTATAGTAGAAACAGGACATCATATTCTCATTTATAGTAGAAACAGGACATCATATTCTCATTTATAGTAGAAACATGACATCATATTCTCATTTATAGTAGAAACATGACATCATATTCTCATTTATAGTAGAAACAGGACATCATATTCTCATTTATAGTAGAAACATGACATCATATTCTCATTTATAGTAGAAACAGGACATCATATTCTCATTTATAGTAGAAACATGACATCATATTCTCATTTATAGTAGAAACATGACATCATATTCTCATTTATAGTAGAAACATGACATCATATTCTCATTTATAGAAAACTTGTGACACGATATTTACATTTATGGAAGGCATGTGACATTTATGGAAGAAACATGACATCATATTCACTTTTATAGAAGACGCATGACATCACACATCATATCAATCAATATTTATTTGTCTGTCTAGTAAATGTACAGGTTGAATTAAAAATGAAGTTGGTATATGTATTTCCTATGTTGCCATGCATCGTCATTTAGCATAACTTAGTCCAGTAAAGCTGTACAAATATTATTTCTGAAAATGATTTGAAAAAAAGAAAAAATTCAGTTTTTAGAAGTTGATATATTGATCTCTTGACTTTTTCCAGAATTCATATGAAAATTTTCAATTTTTCTATTAATCAGTACTTGTAAGCTCCTATTGAAATACTAAGAAATAAAAAAGTCACACTAAGTTATTTAATTGGGAGCTAATTATTTCCCAGACCAAAGATTTTTACTTTAATACCAGACGTATGTTGTTTTTTTTTACTTTAAAGGAGCTGTTGCTGGCCCAACAGAGTGTGAAGTTTGTAAAATTGTTTTGAAAGTTGTTGACACCTTCCTTGGAGAAAATCGAACAGAGGTAAAAAAAAAATTGTTTTATTGATCTGTGTATTTATTTTCCAAAAAAGCAAAACAAACTATAGCATAGTCTGGGTAGTTTGAAAGGTGTGAAGAAAATTAAAATATATATCTTGTGCAAGTAAATCTAACACTGGTTATTTTTTTATTATTTTGTGCAAGTAAATCTAACACTGGTTGTATTTGATTCATGAAAAAATAACTTATCTTTTATTAATCACTAAAAGGTACTTCCATGGTAGTAGATTAAATGAACTATTGAACTTAAAAAAAACTAAACTATTTTATTCAATTGTCTTATAAACAGGCTTTAAATTTCAGGCATCTATCAAAGAAGTACTTGACAGAGTATGTAGTGCTCTCCCAGATACAATCAGCAGTGAATGTGAACAACTAGTGAACACATATAGTGATGTGTTGATTAAATTGTTGTTACAAAACTTAGACCCTGAAACCATCTGTAAACAGATAAAACTATGTACAGCACAGACAAGGAAAACAGAAGGTAAACACAGTCAGTCACTTTGATTTTGTCATGTATATCGGTATGCCTGCTTAATTTAAACAGAACGAGAATTAGTTCTACAAACAATGGGTTTATGAGTTGAATGCTGTCATGCATTTTATGTACAAGACTTGTTAAGGTAGATAAACTTGCTGTATATGTTGCTAATGCTAATAGCATTGTCATATAGATAAACAGATAAAAAGATGTTTGTCATAAGTATAAAATGAAAACTGTGTTGCATTTCTAAATATTTAACATCTTTAAAGATGGACAAAGATATAAAATCAATCACTATATATATTCAAATCTGTATTAACAATGTTACTGATTCAAAACAAACAACTGCCACATATTAACAAGGTTGCTGATTTAAATCAAACAACTGTCACACATTTTTGTATGGGTTTGTATCCAGTTTGTATTGAATTGTTACATTTTATGGAGCTATCCTGTGTCATTACAGGTGATCACTTGAACATCGCAGATTGGACTGTAGACTGATAATGTTTTATAAGATATACCATAACCTAGTTGCAATAAATCTCCCAACTTATGTTCAAACCCCACATAGATTAACCAGACATATGCATCCCTTATCCCTACGCCAAATACAGGTATCCTCTGACTACCAGAAGTACTCTTTCTTCCCTCATAGCATTATACTATGGGATAAACTTCCTAGTAACATTGCCACCCTGCCCAACCTGAGTCAGTTCAAACAGGCAGTGGTGGGTTTGCAGTACTAGTCTTACTCCCAGTGTTTTAAAACTATTTTATCTCTTATCATCTTGTTTCACTATTAACATTTTAACCATGACTAGAATACATTTTCAGTCTCACCTTCCAAGCATGTCAATGTTTGGACTTTTCTTTTTAGCTTTTCTTTTTACCTTTTACTGACAATCCGACGTGCACTAAATTCCTGCCTTTAACACTTGTAAGAGGGGTTGGCAGTATCCAGAGATATATTACAGAAAGTTGGTGGTCAAACCAAAAGGTCAGAGGTCATGCACTCTCAGTGCCTTAGTTCCTGCACTACTGACAAGAAATATGTGGCAAATATGACATAAAATTTACCCACCAGGGAAATTGATTCTTTCCTACTTTATGCAGCTCATAGTTTTTCCCTGTGTAATGTACCTAAAACAAGGCACTGAGTGGGTAAATCTGTTGTAAAGACAAACAAAGAAGATGACATGTTATACATACATGTACTATTTTAATTACTTTATTTTATTTTTTAGGCACTATAAAAGCAAGTGTTACATGTGTGATATGTGAATTTGCTCTCAAAGAAATAGATGATTATCTCAAAGGGAACAGATCTGTGGTGAGTATAGAATAAATTATAAATGCTGACATGTTTTAATAACATGTATCTGCTATAATTTTGTTGTTAAATGTGATATATGTGTTACATTAGAAGGTGTAAATTCTGAAGAGTATACAAAAATCATGTCATTTATTAGAAGGCTACTGATTTCTAAATTACTTAAAAGTTGTTATATACTCACTGTAGCTTTAACTCTATTATTGTATTTACTAACAGATCCCTATGCTGATTGATTGTACATAAAGATATTAAACATAGGCTATCCATCTAGTTTACATAAGGTCACTCAGTTATTCCATGGACATGCCTTTAATATTGCACAACCAGGCATGTACAGTCTTCTTTAATTAAGCAGTGAATAATGAAAATTGATGAGACTTTGAATATTCCCCTCTAAAAGATTGTAAAGAATAGTTATTGAGATTTTCTTATTCAAGAAAAAGTTGTTTAAACAAAATAGCATACTCAGTATTTTAATAAAAAGTAAGGAACTTGTTATAATTTCAGGCTGCTATTACAACAGCTTTAGAGGAAGTGTGCTCATTGATGCCTGACACTATAACGACAGAATGTAAAGAATTTGTTGACAAATACAGTAAAGTAATCATCAGTCTGCTTGTACAGAATATAGATCCTACAACAATCTGTACTAGAATTGGACTGTGTACAGGAAAATCTGTCTCTTCGTTAGAGAATATAATACCACTGAAAACAAAGGGTAGGTATTAGAAACGATTTTTTTGTTTCTTTTAGGTACATAGTATCTTATATCCTTCTAATACATTTTCTTTGAACTTTGCAACTAGTGCTAATAATTCACTTTAAACTTCACACATCTTATAAAGGTTATTACAGTTCACTGCCAAAGATCCCTAACTCTAGCCCAGAATATGGTTAAATTATTTTCCTTTATAAACTTGGAAAAATTCCTGATTAATTTATTTTCAGCAAGATCAGTTTCCAAAACTTGCTTTGTGAACATAGACATTTATGACTCTGTGTGTATTTTTAGCTCGACTATTCGCAGAATAATCAAGCTAATGCAGTCACCCATTTGTCGGCGTCCCTGTGGTTAAGTTTTTGCATGTAAGCTGGTATCTCCATAAGTACTGAAGGGAATGGATTGAAACTTCACACACTTGTTCTCTGTGATTATCTAAGATGATTGGCACAAGTCCCATAACTCTGATTTGCTTTTTTACATAATTATGCCCCTTTTTCGACTTAGAAATTCTTGGTTAAGTTTTTGTGTGTAAGCTGGTATCTCCATAAGTACTGAAGGGAATGGATTGAAACTTCACACATTTGTTCTCTGTGATTATCTAAGATGATTGGCACAAATGTCATAACTCTGATTTGCTTATTTACATAATTATGCCCCTTTTTCGACTTAGAAATTCTTGGTTAAGTGTTTGTGTGTAAGCTGGTTTCTCCATAACTACTGAAGGGAATGGATTGAAACTTCACACACTTGTTCTCTGTGATTATCTAGGATGATTGGCACAAGTCCCATAACTCTGATTGCTTTTTTACATAATTATGCCCCTTTTTCGACTTAGAAATTCTTGGTTAAGTTTTTGCGTGTAAACTGGTATCTCCATAACTACTAAAGGGAATGGATTGAAACTTAACACATTTGTTCTCTGTGATTATCTTAGATGATTGGCACAAGTCCCATAACTCTGATTTGCTTTTTTACATAATTATGCCCCTTTTTCGACTAAGAAATTCTTGGTTATGTTTTTGCTTGTAAGCTGGTATCTCCATAAGTACTGTAGGGAAAGGATTGAATCTTCACACACTTGTTCTCTGTGATTATCTAAGATGATTGGCACAAATCCCATAAATCTGATTTGCTTTTTTGCATAATTATGCCCCTTTTCTACTTAGAAATTCTATGTAAATTTTTGCTTGTAAGCTGGCATCTCCATAACTACTGAAGGGTTTGTACCTTTTCCGACAATTTTATGTATTCATACAGGTAAGCATTATTATACTCACTGAAACACCCTTCATATATGACAAAGATATTAAATCAATCACTATATATATTCAAATCTGTATTAACAATGTTACTGATTCAAAACAAACAACTGCCACATATTAACAAGGTTGCTGATTTAAAACAAACAACTGTCACACATTTTTGTGTGGGTTTGTATCCAGTTTGTATTGAATTGTTACATTTTATGGAGCTATCCTGTGTCATTACAGAAAGTTGGTGGTCAAACCAAAAGGTCAGAGGTCATGCACTCTCGGTGCCTTAGTTCATGCACTACTGACAAGAAATATGTGGCAAATATGACATAAAATTTACCCACCAGGGAAATTGATTCTTTCCTACTTTATGCAGCTCATAGTTTTTCCCTGTGTAATGTACCTAAAACAAGGCACTGAGTGGGTAAATCTGTTGTAAAAACAAACAAAGAAGATGACATGTTATACATACTATTTTAATTACTTTATTTTATTTTTAGGCACTATAAAAGCAAGTGTTACATGTGTGATATGTGAATTTGCTCTCAAAGAAATAGATGATTATCTCAAAGGGAACAGATCTGTGGTGAGTATAGAATAAATTATAAATGCTGACATGTTTTAATAACTTGTATCTGCTATAATTTTGTTGTTAAATGTGATATATGTGTTACATTAGAAGGTGTAAATTCTGAAGAGAATACAAAAGTCATGTCATTTATTAGAAGGCTACTGATTTCTAAATTACTTAAAAGTTGTTATATACTCACTGTAGCTTTAACTCTATTATTGTATTTACTAACAGACCCCTATGCTGATTGATTGTACATAAAGATATTAAACATAGGCTATCCATCTTGTTTACATAAGGTCACTCAGTTATTCCATGGGCATGCCTTTAATATTGCACAACCAGGCATGTACAGTCTTCTTTAATTAAGCAGTGAATAATGAAAATTGATGAGACTTTGAACACTCCCCTCTAAAAGATTGTAAAGAATAGTTATTGAGATTTTCTTATTCAAGAAAAAGTTGTTTAAACAAAATAGCATACTCAGTATTTTAATAAAAAGTAAGGAACTTGTTATAATTTCAGGCTGCTATAACAACAGCTTTAGAGGAAGTGTGCTCATTGATGCCTGACACTATAACGACAGAATGTAAAGAATTTGTTGAAAAATACAGTAAAGTAATCATCAGTCTGCTTGTACAGAATATAGATCCTACAACAATCTGTACTAGAATTGGACTGTGTACAGGAAAATCTGTCTCTTCGTTAGAGAATATAATACCACTGAAAACAAAGGGTAGGTATTAGAAACGATTTTTTTGTTTCTTTTAGGTATATCAGTATCTTATATTCTACTTGGCAACTAGTGCTTATAATTCACTTTAAACTTCACACATCTTATAAAGGTTATTACAGTTCACTGTCAAAGATCCGTAACTCTAGCCCAAAATATGGTTTAATTATTTCCCTTTATTAACTTGGAAAAATTCCTCATAGCAAGATCATTTTCCAAAACTGCTGAGTGTATTCAATTGAAACTGGGTGAAACAATGTTAAGTGCTTTGTGAACATAGAAATGTATGACTCTTGTGTGTATTTTTATTGAAATCTTTCTCTTAGATGTACATTTTCTATGTTTGAATGCATAATTATCAATGCTCTTGTTTTATAATCAAGCACCAAGAATTGTGCTGTCCCTCTGGTAACTTTTCTTAATGTATAATTATTTATTATGCCCCCATTTTGAAGAAAAGGGGGTATATTGCTTTGCACTTGTCGGTCCGTCGGTCCGTCGGTCTGTCGGTCCGTCGGTCCGTAGACCAAATGGTTTCCGAGTGATAACTAAAGAACCCTTAGGCCTAGGAACTTCAAACTTGGTATGGTGATTGGTCATGACCAGTAGATGACCCCTATTGATTTTGGGGTCAAGGGGTCAAAGGTCAAGGTCACATTGACCTTGTAAGCAAAAACGGTTTCCAATCAATAACTAAAGAACCATAAGGCCTAGGAACTTCAAACTTGGTATGGTGATTGGTCATGATCAGTAGATGACCCCTTTTGATTTTGGGGTCAAGGGGTCAAAGGTCAAGGTCACATTGACCTTGTAAGCAAAAACGGTTTCCGATCAATAACTAAAGAACCTTAAGGCCTAGGAACTTCAAACTTGGTATGGTGATTGGTCATGATCAGTAGATGACCCCTATTGATTTTGGGGTCAAGGGGTCAAAGGTCAAGGTCACATTGACCTCTTGGGTAAAAACGGTTTCTGACAAATAACAAAAGAACCCTTAGGCCTAGGAACTTCAAACTTGGTATGGTGATTGGTTATGACCAGCAGATGACCCCTATTGATTTTGGGGTTAAGGGGTCAAAGGTCAAGGTCACATTGACCTTGTAGGTAAAAAGGTTTCCGATCAAAAACGAAAGAACCGTTAGGCCTAGGAACTTCAAACTTGATATGGTGATTGATCATGATCAGTAGATGACCCCTATTGATTTTGGGGTCAAGGGGTCAAAGGTCAAGGTCACATTGACCTCTTAGGTTAAAACGGTTTCCGATCAATAACTAAAGAACCCTTAGGCCTATGAACTTCAAACTTGGTATGGTGATTGGTCATGACCAGCAGATGACCCCTATTGATTTTGGGGTTAAGGGGTCAAAGGGCAAGGTTATATTGACCTTGTAGGTAAAAATGCTTTACAATCAATAACTTAAGAACCCTTCTGCTAAGGAACTTCAAACTTGGTATGGTGATTGGTCATGACCAGCAGATGACCTATTGATTTTGGGGTCAAGGGGTCAAAGGTCAAGGTCACATTGACCTTGTAGGTAAAAATGGTTTCCGATCAATTAACTAAAAACGCTTAGGCCTAGGAACTTCAAACTTTGTATGATGATTGGTCGTGACCAGCAGATGACCCCTATTGAGTTTTGGGTCAAGGGGTCAAAGGTCAAGGTCACATTGACCTTGAAAGTAAAAATGGTTTCTGATTAAAAACTTAAGAACGCTTAGGCCTAGGAACTTCAAACTTGGTATGGTGATTTGTCATGACCAGCAGATTACCCCTATTGATTTTGGGATCAAGGGGTCAAAGGTCAAGGTCACATTGACATTGTAAGTAAAAACGGTTTCTGATCAATAACTTAAGAACGCTTCGGCCTAGGAACTTCAAACTTGGCATGGTGATTGGTCATGACCAGCAGATGACCCCTATTGATTTTGGGGTCAAAGGTCAAGGTCACATTGACCTTGTATGTTAAAACAGTTTCTGATCAATAACTAAAGGACCCTTAGGCCTAGGAACTTCAAACTTGTTATGGTGATTGGTCATGACCAGCAGATGACCCCTATTGAGTTTTGGGTCAAGGGGTCAAAGGTTAAGGTCATGACCAGTAGATACTTGATAACCCTTATTAATTGTTTGATCACTGGGTCAGAAGTCATGCATAATAACCTTATCACATGACTAAACTGGCTGCAGATAGGGGGCATACATGTTTTACAAACATATCTTGTTTTTCTTAATTTTATATTCAATATATTTGTCAAATGTAAATGATGAATATTATTTGTTATTAATTTAGTGCTGGGCAACCTGAAATCAAGTGTAGTTACATGTGAAACATGTAAATATATTATGAGCTATGTGAAGACTTTACTGAAGGACAACAAAACAGAGGTGTGTATTTAATAGTGATATTGTTTATATATTTGTGATTAACCCTTTAAGTGCTGGACCCGAAAGCATTAAGTCTTTGCGACCAGTATAGAGCCAGGCCAGCCTGCGCTTCCGTGCAGTCTGACCAGGCTCTATACTGTTGGCTTACAAATTTTAAATATTCAAATTGATATCCCTAAAATTGATAATGGACAGTCCCAAAAATGGAAGTGGGACAAGTCCATTTAAGATATTCAGCATGTTCAGGGTTAAGATTGAGCACAACCTGTTTCATGTAGCTAGTCTAAATACAAAAATTGTTTTATATGTGAAAACTTTGTATACATGTACTTGAAATGTGTTTGTTTGACTAAACACCTGATTTTATAAATATACTCAATGGTGTTATTATAATTATTAAAATAGAAATTCCAACAAAAATGTAATATTCAGTACTGATTGTAATATATGCAGTCATGTTCTAATTTCAAACTAAACATTTGTTTTACTTGAAAAAGCAATATAGTTAATATATCTGTGATAGAGATTCAACATAGAAATTATTGTTTCATTGGAATCTTGCCGGGAAAAAACTGATAACAAAAATATTTTGAGAATATGATCACTTTCTTTACATGTAAGTATGAAACAGTTTGCAAGAAAACCATAGAGAGATTTTTTTCTTCTTCTTTTTTCACACATTGGTCCAAAAATGCTTAAAAGTCTTAAAAACAATTTTCGCATATATTCCAAGAATTGGCATTGTTTATTATATAACATCATTCTGTGCGTGTGAGACATAGCTCTTTATTTGTAAATATATCATGTATAAATGCAATTGTTATACATATGAGCCAGGTCACAACAAAAGCAGCATAATGGGTTTGCGACCAGCATCAGCACAGTCTGATCAGGATCCATGCTGTTCGTTATTAGTTTCTCTACTTGTTATAGGGTTTGTAAGCGAACAGCATGGATCCTGATCAGACTGCACAGATGCGCAGGCTGGTCTGGATCCATGCTGGCGCAAACCCACTATGTTGGTTTTGTCTTGACGTGGCTCAGTTTATAGTAAAACGTATTCCTTTGTTTGGCAGGCTGCAGTTCAAGAAGCTCTGGACAAAGTATGCAGTTATCTCCCTGCACAAATATCAGATCAGTGTACAGCTTTTGTGAACGAGTACACAGATATGGTTGTTCAGCTTATAGCCAATGATGTCTCCCCTGACCAAGTGTGCACTGCTATTGGACTGTGTTCATCAGGGAAAAAATCTCAGTGGGGAGCATTTGTTAAAATCCTTCCTGATAAACAGAAAGGTATGGTATCTTTGTTTTAGCTGACAAGAGCACAACACTGGTCTTTATTGCAGTACACTCCTCTACACTGTTCTTTAAATGACTTCTCCATATAAATTTTACACTGGGTGATTATGATCAAAACTTCATTGAAATGTGCCATAGATTACCCTCATTCAAACTTGGTCCATGAACAAAAACTTGAGATATACAATGTAGTAAAATTGAAAGAAGGTTTGGGGCATACATGGGAAATTTGTTCTCAGTATATGCAGGTTAATGGGTAATCTGAAGAGAACAATTTTTTTGTTTTCTTTTGTATATATTTCGTTATACTGTATGGCCTTTATAACTAATAATACAGTAGCATATTTATAATACTTAATAACTAGGTAACATTTGTAGTATTGTTAACTGGTTTAATTATTTAAAGGAGAAGCAAAATTAAATTACCATTTAGTTATTGCCATCTACCATGTGTAACTTGCCATAACCACTGTATGTCTAAATCTCCCATATGGCTTTATGGGATGTTATCCAGTTAGTTTCTGGAAGATCATTTATTCTACCTTATTACTAATATGTCTTGAAATGTTAATGGTAAGTCATGAATTCTACCCAGGTGTTTTATATAGCCTGAAATAGTTATTTGACGTCATTTATTCTACCTTCATATTATTGTGGCTTGAAATAATTATGAGAAGGTAAGGAATTTACCTAGCTGTTGATAATGGCTTGACATGGTTATGAAAGGTCACTTAGACTATCCAGGTACTTTATGGCCTGAAATGGTTATGGAAGGTCATTAATTTTACCCAGATGTTTATATGGCCTGAGCTTGTTACAAAAGGTCATTGATCCAGCCTGAAACAGTCTACTTAGGTATTTTATAGGGCCTGAAACAGTCTACTTAGGTATTTTATAGGGCCTTAAACAGTCTATCAAGGTATTTTATACGGCCTGAAACAGTCTACCAAGGTATTTTATATGGTCTGAAACAGTCTACTTAGGTATCTTATACGGCCTGAAACAGTCTATCAAGGTATTTTATATGGCCTGAAACAGTCTATCAAAGTATTTTTTTTATATGGCCTGAAACAGTCTATCAAGGTATTTTATATGGCCTGAAACAGTCTCACGAGGTATTTTATACGGCCTGAAACAATCTACCTAAGTATTTATAGGGCCTGAAGCAGTCTACCTAGGTATTGGATATGACTAAAATATATTATAGGTCTAACCACTTTTTAACATGGCTAGATTTAAGATTGGCTAACAGGATATCTTTCGTTTATTGTAGCTAGAATCTGATCATATGACCTTTGATAATGTAACTATACAAAATTAGAATATTTAATATATAGATTGATACATGTATTTGTTAATTTAGAAAATGGAAAGCTGCAGTCAAGTATAAAATGTGTGATCTGTGAGTTTGTGATGTCCAAGTTGAAGGATATACTAAAAGACAACAAGACTGAGGTTTGTATGAAGTATAAAATACAATATTTTAAAATATTTAAAGCCTTTGTTCTGCTTTGAATTCTTATTAGCAATTTTAAGGGATACTATATTAAAATATTGAAATTTGAGAAGTCAGCAGTGCTGGGGATATATCCAAGCACTTGGCATCCGCGCAGTCTGATCAGGATCCATGCTGTTCGCTTACAAACCCTATTACAAGTAGAGAAACTAAAAGCGAACAGCATGGATTCTGATCAGACTGCACGGATGCACAGGCTGGTCTGGATCCATGCTGGTTGCAAACACACTATGTTGGTTTTTTCGTGACATGGCTCAATTTATTTATTTGACAGGCTGCAGTTCAAGAAGCTCTGGACAAAGTATGCAGTTATCTCCCTGCATCAATTACAAATGAGTGTACATCTTTTGTGAACGAGTACACAGATCTAGTTGTTAAGCTTATAGCCAATGATGTCTCCCCAGACCAAGTATGCACTGTTATTGGACTGTGTTCATCGGGGAAAAAATCCCATTGGGGAGCATTTGTTAAAATTCTTCCTGATAAACAGAAAGGTATGGTATCTTTATTGTAGAGATTTAATTTTGATTTTACAAACCTGATGTGGGCAACACATAAGGTCATGGGTTTTAACGTTCTTATAATACTGCATGTTTGTGACATTACTTTTCATTGGATAATCGTGATGTTTATATAGATTGATATACACATGGCTGCTGTCAATTTATTAAAAAAAACTCAGTCTTTACTTTGAAAAAGGCAGTTTGGTGTATTATAAATTTGTTATTAATTCATATATAAACGGTTGTTTGCGATATAACCCTCGTCTAGTGTATTGGGTTATACATGTATTTCCAAATGGCCATTTATGTAGGGTCATATAACCTGTCATAAATCTTTTTAACTAATTATATATCCGAAGTCAGTGAAAAAAAGCATGAAAACAGTTGATTATACTATATTTTATTAAAACTTCAGGAGGTAATTTTAGTATTAACCTTTATAATAATACAGTTTTTTCCCAGTCTATGTGTATGAATGTTTTGGTGCTAACAATCTAAATTTTATGTTACACACAAGACTGCAGGTCAAAGGTCACATTGATAAAATATGGGTGTATTTATGTTGACTGATCTTCAAAGTAAAATTTGATGGCTTTTGAAATTACTGTGCAGTAACATTTTCCCAATTGGAAAATAAAAGTTTGACCAAGGTCTGTGTCACATAAACATGATACAAAAGATGGAGAATAGTTCCTCTGTTATAAATTAGTACAATATTTAAAGTCTTTATATATGTACATGACTTATACTAAGAAAACGAAAATTTCATTGATCTTTTCAACAATGTAATACAGCTTTGATGCATTAAAACTTTGAATATGACATTAAAGTTTTGTCATTTCTTTAATTTCCTCATTAGTTTTGAATATGACATTAAGAGTTTTGTCATTTCTTTAATTTCCTCATTAGTTTGAAATCGTGATTTTATACAATGTTATATGCCTGTACTCTTTTTATGTTTAGACAACTCTCAGTTAAGTTGTTGCAGTAACATAAATTGATTTGTCTCCCTTTGATACAAAATTGAATATACTTGCAGCAAAGTCAGATTTTTGTGGGCCATGTAAGTTTTTGGTGGATCAATTGCAAGAGTTTTTGAAGGAGAATAGAACAGCTAAAGAAATTGAAGAATATATGCGTAAACTTTGTGATATATTACCAGATACTGTTACAGCACAGGTAAAATTCTTGTTTTATATATACATCAAGGTTTATGTTTGTTATTTTGCTATAAATATTAAGAGGATATTTTTTCGTTTGCGTGAAATATGGAATATATTTTCATGAAACATGATAAAATGCCACATATTTTCACGAGCCGGTACGGCGAGTGAAAATTTGTGGCATTTTATCATGTTGAGTGAAAATATATACCATATTTCACAAAAAAACAAAAAAATAACCTTTTTATTTAATTTCATTATCAAAGAAAATGGTAACGAATCCCCTTGCTTGCTACCAACTGCAATTGTACAGCGCGCAGTAATTTATGCGTAAGCACGCGCTGTTTGGGGCTACATTGTGATGTCATGTAAACAACTCTTTACACGTCTGTACAGCGTTAATTACTGAATTAAAGATATTGGTGTTCAGATTAATTTTCTTAGTTAGACCATTTTCTATCATGCTAGATAGTTTTCAAAACAATATTCAAGAAAAAGTTGTTTTGTATTTATCAGATTTTTCAAACAAAACGGCGAAAGAAGTCCCTTAAAATAAATATGAGTTTTGACTCCACCCACTTTCATATTTATATTTCATATTTATTTTTAAAAAATATGAAATATATTTGACTGATATAGCACCATATTTCATGGGTAAAATTAAATAAATGTGTATATATGCATAAAGGATAAGAAAAAATGGAGACAAATGTTTGATTTTTATATTTTGAATTAAGATAGTACCCTTCATTTTTATTCTCTTTAAGTTTGATTATGTATAGATCCTGTCTGATTCTGATTATCAGATTAGTGGACTCAATAAATATTTCACCACAACATATTTGTTAACAAAAGAGCACATTTACATATTTGTGGTTAAATCTATCGTTATTCAAATAAAAGGTCAAAGTAGGGATCTATCAATTCTGTCTGTTGAATATAGTTGTATTCAAGAGGTCTTGAATGTCAGTATGGTATGTGAACTAACATTAACAAAACATTGCTTTTACGTACATAACTGCTAACAATTTTACAGTGCCATGATGTTGTAGACCAGTACATTCCAGCCATACTGGATCTCATTGGACAAAATCTTAAACCAGAAGAAATATGCAAGGTAAAATATTGTATACTTTTGTTTAAACGATAATTATACAAATATTATGTTATAAATTGTTTTCAAAATTTAAAGGAGAGAGATACGGAAATTTAGATATTTAGAACATTTTAATAACTTAAGCTTAGATTTTTATAAAAACATAAATCACGATCTGATACAATGAAATAAATGCATTAAATACTTTAAAGTAGTAAGTAACAGTTTGTTGCAAGTTGAGGGTAAAGAAAGATGAAGTTAAAGAAGATGGTTAGTGGTCTGTTATATGGTTAAGAATTCTTGGGCCAAGCTTGCAAGCTTTTTAATCACGGGAATATGGCACTACTTTGAAGTCTGCTTTTGCCTAAAATATTTCATGGATGAGTGCCTGAGGTCCTTGTCCAACAGTAAAGCTGGTGTAAATATAAAAAAAATGTTAGCATGCTAATGATTAACTATTTTACAGCAACTTGGATTCTGTAATGCCACAGTAGCCCAGAAGAAGGATGACAAAACTTTGTTCTTTAAATCTCACAAACTGGTTGGGACAAACAAATGCACATACGGACCTGCCTATTGGTGTGCTAATAAAGACAATGCTGCCGAATGTAATGTAAGTATAATGTATATATTGTCCTTTTGTTTAATTTCTAATCTTATGGAACAGAACATAATGAGCCATATTGTCCTTTTGTTGAACTATTACTCTGCTGGAACAGAAAATGATGAGCCCTTGCCATCTGTATAGATCCAGTCCAACCTTGTAGCTCAATTTTAGTATTTTGTTGATGTTATTCATGAAAATACAAATGGACAGTTCCAAAAAAAACAGATGGCAAATGTATTACATAAATTCAGTATGTGAAGGGTCGATACAAATTAGGGCTGGGAACGAATAAGTAATTTGATGTTTGAATATTCTTTTACCATATTCGTTTTCCATATTCAAATATTTGTTTTTACAACATTTGTTCCAATATATCTCTTTGACATATACATATCCGAAATTGATTGTGTCGAATACAATATTGATAATGGACTATTCCCAAAAGGGAAGCTGGACAAGTCCATTTAAGAAATCCAGCAGGTAAAGTGGGTAGAGTGTTAAATATTTTTAGCAAAATTTATATCAGTATTTTTTACTTGTATAGAAATGTTTGCGTTTTTTCTTGCAGGCAATGGAGCACTGTTTGAGACATGTGTGGAACTAAAGTCCATCAATATTTGTATTTTGAAGATTCTCCACATTATTCCAGCATAACTAACTTACTTTGAAGTATTCACCTAGGTTGTCACATTATATGAAAGGGAAAAAGCAAAATAAAACATAGAATAAAAATTGTTATCAAAATATTTATGTTCCTAAATAATAAAAGTATATGGTAACCAATGATTTATCAGAAAAAAAGACAAGTTTGATTTTTTCTTCATTTTTTGTTTCATTTGTCAGGATTGTGTTTTATTATCATTCCATAAGTGTACAAAATATTTATATTACAATTCTCATGAAGCAATATAAAGGTTGATTGTAAAGGTTTGTTATATATCATCATGTAGATAGGATACATAAGTATGCTTTGATTTATTTTCAATGCAGAATATTAGTTTGTATGTCAACATTAGAAAACAAACAAAAAATCTTTAGGGTTTCATGGCATCATTTTCTTGATTGAAATGTAGACATTCAATTTAAACATCAGGTTATTGCCATCAAAGTTAGCCAAGTGTGATTTAGAGAAATTTAGTTTTAAATAGCTTTGATTCTTTATAATATTGATAAAGTGGAACAATTGGCACCAGTTAAACCTTGATACTTGTTTAAAGACATACTGTAATGAATGTTCAATCAGAAATTTTAGGTCTGACTTAGAAATGATTTTATGTCTGCTTAGTTGTAAGATTGTTGTATGAAATTTAGTGTTTAACTACTTACTATGTCTAAAAAAAAAAGAAGTATCAAGGGATAATTTAATTTGATTCCTTATAGAAAAGCTTCTAAATGTGCAATTTGAATATTTTATTTTAGTTTCCTCATGAGCTGTATACATTTTGTTCTGCATAATTTTTTGAAAAATGAAATATTTGATTTATATATGTCACTAGCTTGTTTTATTTATAGTAGTTAAAAATAGTTTAAAACTGGTATGTGATATATGTGCACAGTTTATTCTAACATACTTCAAAATTGGATATTAACAGTAAATGGTTAAATGATATATTTGATATTGTGTTTGAACATATAGGCATATATGTGATATTTTACTGAGATAACTTGTATGACTAATATAAGTTCATGATATATACATGTAATGTTCTATGTTGTCTGTAATACATGTTATGTAACATTTATGTTGTTATTGAATTGATAGAACCAGCATGATTTTTTGCTCTTTTTTCTACTACAACAATTTTTTTTAAAGAAAAATTTCAAAAAAAAATATTGAAATATTATTTTCAGAATCACAGTTCAAAATACCTCATTTAAGTTTATAAGACGTAGATATTTTTTCCAGTTTCATTTATACGGCTAATGTAGTTATCATAATTGGCAGAACACATTAAATAGCAAGAAATGTAGCTGAAATTTTCGCAAATCATGAAACAAGATGATAATGTATTAAACACTCTTTCTTTACATGCTATTAAAATAATCTTTAAAATTGACATTAAATATTTATAATGTCATTTGCTTTTGTAAATTTGCTAATGTACGTCAAAGTTTAATAGCATTGTCATATTGAATTATAAATTTTATTCTCTTTAAACGATAATGGGCAATACCATTTAAATGTTGTAAAAAAATAATAGCGAGAGTTTTGAAAATATTTTAATTAAAAACGTATGATATGAGAATAGGAACCTGTTATGTTCAGTTATAATGTTAATTAGATAAACATTAACACATTAAACTGCTCAATATGACATGACAAAAATAGATCAAGATGAAAATTTGTTGATTTTTTTTGTAAATTTTAATTGATTGTGTCAAAAGCTTGCAGACTTTGTTTTCTGAGTTTATAAAATGGCATTAGAATTTATAAGCATGTAAACAGCTGATGGGATCTGAAGATTCGAGATGAAAAAAATACTAATGTATCTTTGTTGTTGTTCATTTTTTATTTCTTTGTATTTATGATGAAGAAAGACAATGTTGCATTAATACATCTGATGTTAAAATGTTAGTCTGTATGGAAACATGTTCATTTTCTAAATTTTAACCCTGTGTAACAGTGTGGTTTTAAGATTTATATAGAAGTTACAAATAAAGGGAATTAAACATGTAATATGATCAAGTTAACAGCTTTGCAGAGGTATGGGTGTTAAAATTATTTTACAATTTATAACCGGTACATTGACGATCTTTTCTCTCATTTTTTTTTCTTTTTGTATATTTTGTTCCTTTTCTCAGATTTTTGTACATGGAGTTCAATAAACTCTTTGATTACAATATAGATAACCAAGAAGAGATTAATATGTAAAATAGCTGTGTAAAATTTCTTTAATGACAATTGTAAATAATTATATTTAAATGGTTTAAGATTTTTAACCAGGTTTTCAATTTTGAAAATCCTGGTTATTAGATTGGGGTATGGCGGGCGGATGGGCGGATGGGCGGGCGTCAAACGAAATTGTGTCCGCTCTGTAACTCTTCAACCCTTTGAAGAATTTTGATGAAACTTCAGACAAATGTTTACCACATCAAGATGACGTGCAGAACGCATGTTCCGCATGGCTGGCTCCAAGGTCAAGGTCACAGTGACATTAACAATTGAAAATCCTGTCCGCTCTGTAACTCTTCAACCCTTTGAAGAATTTTATGAAACTTCAGACAAATGTTTACCACATCAAGATGACGTGCAGAACGCATGTTCCGCATGGCTGGCTCCAAGTCAAGGTCACAGTGACATTAACATTGAAAATCCTGTCCGCTCTGTAACTCTTCAACCCTTTGAAGAATTTTGATGAAAAAAACTTCAGACAAATGTTTACCACATCAAGATGACGTGCAGGAACGCATGTTCCGCATGGCTGGCTCCAAGGTCAAGGTCACAGTGACATTAACATTTTAAAAATCCTGTTTACATGATTTTAACTTGAAATTGTGTCCGCTCTGTAACTCTTCAACCCTTTGAAGAATTTTGATGAAACTTCAGACAAATGTTTACCACATCAAGATGACGTGCAGAACGCATGTTCCGCATGGCTGGCTCCAAGGTCAAGGTCACAGTGACATTAACATTGAAAATCCTGTCCGCTCTGTAACTCTTCAACCCTTTGAAGAATTTTGATGAAACTTCAGACAAATGTTTTTACCACATCAAGATGACGTGCAGAACGCATGTTCCGCATGGCTGGCTCCAAGGTCAAGGTCACAGTGACATTAACATTGAAAATCCTGTTTACATGATTTTAACTTGATTTGGCAGTCAAAGGTCATATCATCTTTGGAGGTAATTTAAAAAAGATATGATATATTATTTCATGTCTACTTTGTAACTTGTTTTTCATTATACAGAATTATCAATATAATTATAGTGAACAAATTCTTCTGTGCTGAACTCGTCCTACATTTCTCAACGGATTTTGTTCAAACTTTCACAGAAGCTTTGTCATCAAGCACCCTGGCACATATTGTCGGGGTTTTGTGATTGGATAGTTTTTTGACCTAATTATGGCACTTTGTTTTTTTCCTTATACTAATATTTATATGAACACTTCTTCAGTGGCAATTCCTCCTACATTATTCATGTTTTACATTGCACATAGTTACATTGTTTGTTGCTTGTATTTGTATTTCAAATACAACATATTTATCTACAATGGTGATAATTGAAAACCTGGTTTCATGGCATTGCCATGTTTCTTGTTTTTATTATAAGTTATTATATCAAAACCATGAAAAAACGATTAAATATTGAAGGAATGTTGACTGATAGATTGTGTATGCAAGATTGATTTATTGATGAAAGGTTTGGCTGTGAGGATAAGGTTCGCTTCTTACATGGCTGGTTCGGACTGGATCATACTATATTGTGATATTATAGTATGTCCTAGGTTAGATCAAGAGTAATTGCAGGAACATGATTTATATATATTTATGTCCCTGGTGAAAGTAAGTGTAATGGGAATGTGTGAGTGTATTTTGTATAAAAAAAAATTAAAAAATATTTGCATACTGTTATATGATACTGTTTATATCTATAAACATGTGTACAGTGTTTTCAGGCAAGGTCAAATATGAAATAAAAGAGAATAAACCTCCGACATAAGGAGTAAAGTATTGTCCAGTAGCTAGGTGGTGGATACTGTTTTACTCTACTCTTGCCTTATAAAATAAACATGTATTATTAAAGAAATCCGGAAAAAAGGAAAGATTTTTATGTGTAGTTTTGAAGTGATAATGAAAGAGTTCTTTTTTAACTTTCTGTCAAGCTTCATGACGTTTACCTTTCTAAATATATTTATAATGGTATTAAAGCTTGAAACATTATGATAACAACATTATCAATATCCAGTATGACGTCATTTGTATGATGTCACAAAAGTTGCACCGAAACAAATTGTTGTCCACTTTTTATATGTATATATTTTTCAGCTTCGTTGTTTGCTTCTTTTCATTAATAAAAATATTTTCTTAACATTTTTTTGTTCTACTTTGCTTTATTAAACGCCGAAGACCTTTGGGACGTATATAGTAGTATGGCGTTGTCCGTCCTTCTGTCCGTAGACATTTGAATTCCGCAGCATAAATTCTGAAGAATGTCAGTGAGTGTGTTTATATTTGGCATGTAAGTATGCTATATCAATAAGTAATCAACTTATTGTTAATAGAGTTATGCCCCTTCTTAGGTAAATTTTAAGTGAAATTATTGGTTTCCGCAGCATAACTTTTGAAGGATTTCAGTAACTGTGTTTATATTTGGCTTTAAAGTTTGTGATGTCGAAGCTCTGGTAAAGTTCGATTTTGGCTGAAATCAACAAGTATAAAGTTATGCTCCTTTTAAAGCAAATTTATGGTTGAGATATTAGTTTCCACAGAATAACTTCTGAAATATTTCAATGTTTGTGCTTTTGCAGTCAGATGAATCTATTAGCGGAATTTTAGAAACTCCTCTAGATGCAATTTCTAAAGAACTCACAATATCAGAAACAAAGCATTCATCTGAACCAGTGTATATTGTTGAATTTTAACAGGAGTACTTGTGTATTAATATTCCATCAAAATAGTTATACATATGAAATACCAAGATCCCGCCTGTCAATATGGACATATTTTGCCTTTCTAACGCTCTCGGTGTGAAATCTCTTATTGAATATCATTTTTTGGAAATATGAAATTAAAATGGAAGCATTTGATGTAGTCAACTCATTATCAATAGAATAATATTGGTTTTAGCAGAGTGGATTTCAATCACACTGTTGATATCTGACATGCAAATAATAATTTTATGTTACATGTATATCAAAACACAAGTTTTGGACGATTTAACAAATGGCTCGTTACATTTTTCCCAGGAAAAACTGAAATTATGTGTATAGGTTTAAATGTGTTTATATAACTTGTTACCTAGGAAAAATATATTATATTTTTCTTTTACATTTTATGGAAAAGTCATAATCTCAGCCATGGTGCATTTTTGTCCTTGATGCCTTATTGTAAATTTACCACTGGGCGTATACTTCCCGCCCAATGTGGAGCATGGTAAAGTTTCAATACAATGTCTGTAAAATTGCAGTGAATACTTTTTAATACAAGCTTACAAATTTTTGTCGCTAATAATATCGTAATTGATATCGTCAGGGCCTTTCAAATATACACATGCTGTACTTACAATAAGCAGTTTCCTATTGGTTAAAGTGTCCGTCAACCCGGGATCGTGGGTTCGAACACCATTCAGGAGCAAAGTTTTGTCAGTCCAGAAAGTAGACGTGAAGACTGTTTATGTAATAGCTTCAACAAAGAAGCTACTTTTATTTACTAGCTTACTAGAATGTCATTCAACAAACAGAAATTTAGAATGAAGTTGTGTATTTTCCTTTTTTTCGGTTTTAACACAAAAATGTGTTTTCCTTGGTGTTTCCTTTGTTGTTCAGGATACATGATTCACTTGATGTGTCTAACATTTACAAAACTAGCTCTTATCAATTTTAGTTTTATTTATCTTATCTCAAATGAGGACCTGCTCAATTTTATGGAGATAATAAATATGTTCCTTTTTTACCACACGCGCTTAACATGAAAACCATTCACCACGAGCATGTGCGATGTATTCATACGCTGGACCACGGCTGTTCTTTCTTTTGTCGTCTTGCTATCGTTTTTATCTAGAAATATTCCAGATAAAATGTTGCAAAAAGCAACACGTTTATAGCCTAGAGTGACCGCCGTGCTTTCAGTACGGACAAGATGTAATGTCCACGCTCACGGGCAAGTGAAGTTGCGCCATAGTTTGCCATGGTGTCGTAAATGACACTAAATTAATATAAACGACAATTGATTGTATTTTCAACAATCACTGTATGCTAATACTGCATGGCAATTTGCGTTGAAACAATTGTTACCGCTTTATTTTATACGGCTATTTAATTTTGGACACACGACCAATCCGCGGTCAAGGTTCTAAACTGGTCGCTCGAGGTCAATATAAAATCCTTAATTGAAAGACAAGGAGATTTGATTACCCTGTATCACGTGTCAAATGTGTCCATTGATTCAAGGACTAGAATAACTGTTGTCATTCTTTGAAGATAAAAATTCAATTTTATTCATAAGGTCGCATCAGGATAGTGTTACATACAGCCAGTATGATAACGTTTTGTTAACCAGGGTCAGAATACACGCGCCAATATGAATATAATTAGATAGAAAATTCAACGGCTTCTTGTTCATAAATTGTCACCCCGGGGCACAATAACAGTGGATCACCATCATAAATGACTTTTTTGTTTTCTATGTAAACAAAACTGAGCAACCAAGTATAATCCCTATGTCAAAGTCCTTTAAAGATAGGGGATCGCATGGTATGATCTATTAAGTGTGGGAGATTTCTTTATTTTGAAATTAAACCTGCCCCGTTTCTATTGTAAAACCAGATGATGTTGTTTATATTCTCCATATTTCATAATATATTATTATACATGTACTCGAGTTTTGAAATGAAAAACTTGAAAGAAAATTTTCCATGAGTTTCTGTTAATTCATATTATTTAACGTAACAGCGAACTTTGTTGTTGTCCCATTTTTTAAGCCTGTGTACATGATCTGAAAAAGTAGCTGAAGTTCGAAGTTCATAATTAAAAGACATGTGCTGTTTTTTTAATAATTATATACAAGGACTTTTAACATCTAACGATAACGGGGTCTTCGGTTTTTGTAAATAAAGATCACGTGGTAAAAATTATCCCTCAAGTTGTTGAGCACTAGTCATTTTAGTAATTTTTAATAGCAATGCTGTTTTCGCTCAATTAAATTTAGTTTTTATAAAACCTTTTTATT